GAGCTACACGGTTACAGGAAGTTCCTCATCCTCCAAAAAGCTACCCCCATTTCCGAAAAGAGCATGGTGGAGCCCAGGCCTGGGGTCCACGCCAAGGGAGTGGCAGCATTGCTTCTATGTAAGTTATGTGCTGCATTAAAAAAAAAATCTGCCTTAAACTGGGCAGTGGTGGCACATGCCTTTAATCCCAGCACTTGGGAGGCAGAGGCAGGCAGGTGTCTGTGAGTTCGAGGCCAGCCTGGTCTACAGAGAGAGTTCCAGGACAGCCAAGACTACATGAAGAAACTGTATGAAAAAAAAACTATGTGGGAAAAAAGAAGCTTCCTTAGTACTCTCTTGTTGTTGTTTTTATTTTTGAATGGTCAGTCATCATACTCTCCTTTTATTTGTCTCCTCACTTGCTGTTTGAAGGCTGTGGTCTCCCGGGGAGTAGGCTGAGGTGCTGAGGCACACAGGGCTTTCCTGTACACTGACTTGAGACCAGATGAATAAAAGTGCACACCTTACAAAGAAACAAACAAACAAGATTTATTTTGGGGACGACATGGTGGCGCACACCTTTGGTTCCAGCACTGAGGCAGGTGGATCTCTGAGAGTTCAATGTTCAGTGCTAGCCTGATCTCCATAGTGAGTTCCATGTCAGCTAGGGCTACAAAGCGAGATCCTGTCTAAAAAAAAAAAAAAAAAAAAGTAAAAATAAATTTTATTTTTGACTGTGTGCACATACATGTCTGTGTGTGGTCTTGTATGTGTGAGCAGAGGCACCTGCATAGTCCACAAGATGGCTGAGGGTCCCCTGGAACTGGTGTTACCAGTGTTGTGGGTATTGGGCATGAAACTCTCTCTGTAGGAGTAGCAGGTCCTCTTAGCTACCAAGCCATCTCTTCAGCCCTCTTTCTTTCTTTCTTTCTTTCTTTCTTTCTTTCTTTCTTTCTTTCTTTCTTTCTCTCTCTCTCTCTCTCTCTCTCTTTCTTTCTTTCTTTCTTTCTTTCTTTCTCAAGATCTTTGTGTCCATGAGAGGATGACCTAGAATTTCTTCTGATCCTCCTAGCTCCAGCTCCGGAGTCCTGGGGTAATAGTGAGATTGCATGCAGGTTCTGACTGTGTCTAGAGTTCTCAGCGCTGGGAATTGAGCTCGGGGCTTTTGCATGCTCGACAGGGGACACTCAAGCAACAGAGCTACATCTCCCTTCTGGGTTTGTTCTCGATGTAGGAACTCCTGTTGGGTCAGCAGCTGAAGAAATCTTAGCTGGGGAGGACAGAAGCTGTGGGTCAGAGCTTGTGAGCTGCAGGGGAAGAATGGGATTTGGAGGATGGGATGAGCCCACCCCTGTTGTGACAGGCTTTGTCTGCAAACCTCGCTGAGAAATCCTCAGGGAAATAACAGTACGTGGCCCCAGTAAGAACAGAGTAAGGCTATAGGTGGACTCCATGAGCTTGTAGCCTGCTGATCTATAACTGAAAATTTAATTTCTTTTAGATTTATCTGCGTCTCTGAGTGTTTTGTCTGCACACTTGTAAGCATACTATGCTTGTGCCTTGTTGCTTGTGGAGTTCAGAAGAGGGTGTCGGATCCACAAAACTGGAATTACCGGTTGTGAGGTACCATGGGAATCCTGTAAACACAACCCAGGTACTGTGCAAGAGCGGCAAGTGATCTGTATGTTTGCTTGATTGGTTGGTTGGTTTTTCAAGACAGGGTCTCTCTGTGTAGCCCTGGCTGTCATGGATTCTCTTTGTAGATCAGGCTGGCCTCAAACTCACAGAGATCCATCTGCCTCTGCCTCCCAGAGTGCTAAGATTAAACCACCGCCTGGCTCTGTAAATTTTTTTGAAACTTTTATTTATAAGTTGGGTGTGTTGGGCTTGTGTGTGTGTGTGTGTGTGTGTGTGCGCACACGCGCGCGCACACACACGCGCGCACACACACGCGCGTGCTACGGCATGCACGTGGAGGTAAGAGACAGCTTTTAGGAGTTTTTTTTTTTTTTTTTTTTTTTTTTCCACAGTAAGTTGCAGGGAGTGAATCCAGGTCTTTAGGGGCGGTAGAAAGAACCTTCGCTATTTTGTAAGCCCTGATCTGTAATTTTTAACATTATGTAATTGATACTGTAATACTACAGAAAAAAAAAAAAAAAAAGAGTCCAACTCCAGTTCCAGAGGATCCAATGCCCTCTTCTGGCCTCACTGGGCACTGCACACACCTAACATGCAGGCAAGACACATATAAAATGAAAATAAAGAAATCTTTTCTTAAAATTGCATTCTACTGTTTTTAATTTCCAAGAGATATTCCTTATAGTCTTATACACATTTCCCCTCATTTATCTAGTAACCTGTTCTTGTTTTTAAAATATAAAATCTTTGGGATATTACACAAATTTTTAAAAATTATGCATGTAGGTGTTTTGCCTGCATCTGTGTCTGGGCACCGCATATCTGCTTGATGTCTGAGGAAACCAAAAGAGGAAATTAGATCCTTCAGAACTGGAAATACAGACAGTTGTGAGCTGTCACGTAAACCCAGGTCCTCTGGAAGGGCAACCAGTGCCCCTAAATGACCATCTCTCCAGCCTGTAATATACAGTGGTTCTCAACCTCCCTAATGCTGCAACCCTTTAATACAGTTTAATACAGTTTCTCCTATTGTGGTGACCCCAACCGTAAAATTATTATTTTTTAATTAAATTTTTATTTTATTATATTAATTACAGTTTATTTACTTTGTATCCCAGCTGCAGCCCCCTCTCTCATTCCTTCCCAATCCTACCCTCCATCCCTCCTCTCCTCCCTGTCCCTCTCTAAGTCCACTGAGAGGGGAGCTCCTCCTCTCCTTCCCTCTGACCCTGGCTTCTCAGGTCTCTTCAGGACTGGCTGCATTGTCCTCCTCTGTGGCCTGGCAAGGCTGCTCCTCCCTGGGGGTGGGGAGGTCAAAGAGCCAGCCACTGAGTTCATGTCAGAGACAATCCCGTAAAATTATTTTGTTGCCACTTCATACTTGTAATTTTGCTACTGTTATGAATTATAATGTAAACATCTGATATGCAGCCCTCCAAAGGGGTTGTAACCCACAGGTTGAGGACTGCTGCTGTAGACAGCAATACTTTATGGTTTGGTTTGGTTTGGTTTGGTCTGGTCTGGTCTTTGAGACTAGCTCTAACCAGGCGTCTCTGACTTCCTTGCCTCGGCCTCCTGCGTGCTGTGCTGCCGTATCCAGCCAGTGTTTTATCTGTAAGCTGCATCATTTCATCTCCATTTCCTTTGATCTACTCTCTTGTTTGCTGGCTCTAAAAAAATTTACATAATTTACTTGTTTGTGTGTGCCGTGGGGGTGGGGTGTGAACGTCGGATGGCATGAATGGAGAGGTCAGAGAGTAACTTGTGGGACTCAGTTGTCTCCTTCAAACAGATTCAGACAGATCATCAGGCTTGACAGCAACACCACTAACCACTGGACCACCTCGACTGCCCGGTCCTCCTTAACATCTCCACTTAATATCTGAAAGCAAGGGACCGCTTCCATAATTCCTGCTTCACTATGGCAAGAGCAGGCTTTCCGAAAGAGTGGGCTTCTTCCAAGGACCTCGGTGTGATGTCAGAACGTCTAGGCCTCTTCTTTTCCTCCGTAGGAGTTACCTGGACTTTTTCTGCCTGGAAGGTGAACTTCCAACCACCAGCTTTCTTTGGGTGTCCTAGACACACAGACTTCTGGCTGATCATTTAATAAACACTCACACTATGTCAGCACAGCAGCTGGCCACCTGGGCCTCTGCTGTTGACTTGTGCTCCTGTTCAGAAGGCTGCCTTGTCCCCACCTTCCCCTCAGCACATCTACCTGTTCTGGTGGGGCTCTTACCCTCCGATCTGCAAAGGTGAGAGACACTCAAGGCATAGGCACTCAAGATCATTTTCTTGAGTCCTTTAGAGTTTGTTCCCATTCCCGATTGGCCTTGGCAATGGGTGGGCTTCAACATGGACATGATACAACTTACGTTAATTAGAAGTGACAGGAAGTCGCTGAGAGCTTTTGGATGTTCATCTTATGGTCGTAAGAAGCCAGACATGGCGATCCATGCCTGCTATACCAGCAGTATGGAGTCGGAGGCAAAAATCTACTGGTTTCAAGACTAGCCAGGGCCATAGAGAACATTTCAGGGTGACCTCAATTACACAGTATGACTTCGACTCAGAAAACAATAAACAATACAGGAGTAGTGGCTCACACCTGTCACCTCAGCACTTGGGGGTGCTGAGGTGAAAGGACTGGTAGCTCAAGTTCAAGGTCAGCTTGGGCTATAGATTGAGTTCAAGGTCAGCCTGGGACATATTCTGTATTCCCAAAATACAGAAGAGCAAAGAGGACTGAAACTCACTCCCTGCCAAGCATGAGTGCAAAGCCCTGGCTTCAATCTTAGTGCTGGAGGGATGCGTTGCTGCTTGTCCACTGGAAGGCAGAGTTGAGGAAAAATGGGGAACCGTGCACGGATGACCAAGACTAGGCAGTACTACTGCTTACGAAGCACGGGAGAGCCAGGCCAGTCACTGGAGTTAGGCCCCAAAGCAAGCTGGGGTCCTCCACTAGGATACTGGTCCGGGCTAGAGTTCGCAGGGTGGCCCCAAGGCCCCTCTTCTCAGTACTGGGATCTGGGGCGAACTGAGGTTATGGGAACAGCCCAGTCACGGAGGGCTCGCTAAGGAGGCCGAGAGAGCCTCCGTTCCCACCCTCCGCCCGACCTTCTACCAGGCAGATCCAGTCCTACACCGCCCCCGCCCCCCAGGGTGCACTCAGCCCGGGACGCGCGGACGCCGGGCAGGGTCCGCGCCCCTCCGCCTCGTCCCTCCCCGCGCCCCACCCCTCCGTTCATGCTCACTTGGTCGGCGCCACTGCATCCTGTGTGTGCCGGGCCCGCCCGCACTGCGGGGACAGGCGCGGAGCCGCCCTGGGCGCGCGGCGCTCGCGGGCCGTGGCCTGGGACGCGCGGGCGGGCGGGCGGGAGGAATGGCGCGGCCTCGGGGCCGGTAGCGCGGCGGCGGGCACCGCGGGAAAGCCATGGCCCGCCGGCGCCGCCGCGCTTGCATCGCCCTCTTCCTGGTGCTGCTCTTCGCTTTCGGCACGCTCATGGGGTTGCGCACGCTCAAGGCCCCGGACGGGCTGCCGGCGCTAGGCCCGGGCCCGGAGCTAGCACCCTTTGAGCGGCGTCCGGAGGGGAACCCTGCGCCCGCCCGCGCCCCGGCTGCCCCCGCCGCGCCGCCGCCCCCGCCGCCGCGCACCATCGCCCCCCGCGCCTCGGTGGGCCCGGCCGAGGCCGATCCCGCTCCCCGGCAGAGCCTGCGCGTCTACTCCGACCTGCACGCCTTTTACTACTCGTGGTACGGGAGTCCCCGGCGGGAGGGCCACTACATCCACTGGGACCATGTCATGGTGCCGCACTGGGACCCCAAGATCTCGGCCAGCTACCCGCGTGGCCGCCACAGCCCTCCAGATGACTTGGGCTCCAGCTTCTACCCGGAGTTGGGGCCTTATAGCTCGCGGGACCCCGACGTGCTACGAGAGCACATGACCCAGCTCAAAGAAGCCGCCATCGGTGAGATCCCGCGTCCCCTGGCCAGCCTGTCCCCCAGCCTCAGCCCTTCCTTCCTGCACCCTTGGTCCCACTCTCCCGCCAACCTGACCTTGTAGCCCTTCCCTCCCATGCTTACTCCGGGCCCACTACACACCACCTTTTAATTCCCCACTGTACCTTCTGGGCCTTTCTGACCCTCAACAACCCCAGGGCCCTATTCCATAGGGTTGTTGTTGTTGGGAGGAGGGGGTTGTGCAGCAGAGCTACCCGGAGCAAGGACATAAAAAGAGCAGCTTTAAGTCTGTTGGTCCTCCAGGTTTCAGGAGAGGGAGGCCTGGAGATCCTGGTCCTTCAAGTCTGGAGTTGAAAGGAGAGCTTAGGGAGGCTTCTGCTTTCCCAGCAGGTGCAGGGGCTGTTGTAGCAGGGTGGAGAGTGGGCACAACACAGGAGCTTTTCATCAAGTGCCAGCCAGAGGCCCTGGAGAACCTGCTGCATTACAGGCTGGCATGGGGAGGCTCCCTTAGCTTAGATCTTGTCCCTGAATTCTGCCAGCTTTCAAAGATGTATCTGGTTATACCTTGAGATGGTTTATGATGAGGGGAGAGAACTGCAAGGTCAGGGTTCGGGTTTAGGGGTGCATGCCAGAATCGCAGCGCTTGGGAGGAGGCAGAAGGAGACCCAGTTTGTAGCCAGGCTACATAGTGGGACAGTACCTCCAAAACAAACGAATAGAAAAGGAGGGGTGTGACACCTATACAAAGATAACTGGGATGTGAGTTACTCCGTCCCGGCTTGTTTTCTGGACAGGTAGTCAAGGCAAATGCTCCCATAGGAAGCACGGGGATAGGACTTTTCTCCAGGTAGGACTTCAGAGGGAGGGCTGTGGCTTCCAGGTCAGCGTGACCTAGGCACTTTTTCTGCTTTGTTCTGCTTCTTGATGCTGCACTCCCAAGTCTGGCTTACCTTGGCTCCAGCACTTCAGCACTACCAGATGGACAGCTCCGAGAGCAGCTAAGCCTCTCGGATCTGCCCGTAGGAACCTGGCAGGATCCTAGCTCAGTTTTCAGGAACCATGCAGTTGGAGATGGTTTCTGATTAAGAAAAATCTCGTGTGTGTGTGTGTGTGTGGGGGGGACACGTGTGCCACTGAAGGGCCTTCTGTATTGTTTAGGAGTTTTGGTTCTCTCCTGGTACCCTCCTGGCATGGCTGATGATAACGGGGAGCCCTCAGATGATCTGGTACCTGCCATTCTGGATACTGCCCATCAGTACAACATCCAGGTGAGTTCAAGAGATTGCACACTCTCATTCTGGAGAATGCCTTTTCTTCTTTTCCTTCTTCCTTTTCCTCCTCCTCCCACTGTGTAGCCCTGTCTGTCCTGGAACTCACTCTGTAGACCAGGCTGGCCTCAGAGTTAGAGATCTGCCTGTCTCTGCCTCCCAACTGCTGGAATTAAAGGTGCAGGCCACCATCACAAGGCTGAGAATGCATACAGTTAGTGCTGGGGATGACAGACACATGGCAAGTGTGGTATTGGAAGAGGGTCTAGAGCCCATGTCAACTGTTACAAATGAAAGACTATATAAGTATTATTTTTTAATATTTACTTTTAGTTATTTTTTTATTTTGTGTGGATGTGTGCAGGTGCCTGCTGAGGCCAATCCCCAGGAAGCTAGTTGTGAGCCACCTGATATGTGTGCTGGGAACCCAGATTGTTTGGAAGAACAGCCAGTGCTCTGACCGCTGAGCCATCTCTCCTACCCCTTCACTTTTATTAAGTAATACAGGTTAGACTATACAGACTGATCTTGCATACTGGGCAGGCAAGAGCCAAGTGGACCTGCAGACATAGAGCAGAGGACAGTGCTGGGCCTCCGTAAGCAGGTTCACCTTTGAGCGGAAGGTTAAGTGTATGGCCATTTCCTCATCCACATCAACAGAGGAAGTTGGTCCTACTTCTGTGGTGAAGGAAGAGAAATGACTGAGAAGCCCCTCTCCTTCCCGAGGTCACCACTGGCAGGTTTGACAGATGTTGGTGCATTTCCCATTGGTGGCAGAGAGTAGGCACATGTCTTACTGTGGTCATGGTTGGAGCTGACATAGGTGGAAACCTGAATGCCATCCTGCAGTGGCCCAGGATGATTCCTGGATCCCCTGTTGTGGGACATGGACAAACTCTCCCTCTTTACTTTCGATCTGAAGGGCAGTTGCAAACTTTACTGTGCTCATCCTTGCCAGGCTTTCCTGAACTCAGCCCCTCCTCCAAGCCATGACGGGGCCGTTAAGCTGTACCTTGTGCTCCTGAATATTTACCTGACTTGCAATTCCTTTATCTGTGGCAGGTGGCCTTTCACATTCAGCCTTACAAGGGCCGGGATGACGTCACTGTTCATGACAACATCAAGTACATCATTGACACGTAAGATGGGAATCTGGATGGAAGTAGGGATAGAAGGGTTGGAGGGCTGGCTCAGGCAGCGTGAGGGTGGAACACGCATGTCACGAGCAGCTGTTCACAGGTGAGTGTGCTGGGCTGGTTCAGGCAGCTGAGTTTCAGGTCTGGTGCTGGGGCCCTAACTGAGTCTTGTTTTAGTGACTAACACATGTCTGTACATAGTCACTGAAAAACTCCCCGGTGCTTAGACATACAGCTCCTGTCTTTCTTCCACAAAGTTTTTGGCATCATGTTTAGTCTAGTGGTTGGGGTTGCAGTTAGAGCTCCCCAACCAAGAAGTGAGAAACCACGGCAATCTGTAGTACAAACAAAAACAAAACAAAAACCAATAAAAAGGAAAGTTAAGGGCTAGAGAGATGGCTCAGAGATTAAAAGCACCGACTGCTCTTCCAGAGGTCCTGCGTTCAATTCCCAGCAACCATGTGGTGGCTCACAACCATCTTTCCTGGAATCTGATGCCCTCTTCTGGTGCGCAGGTGTACGTGCAAGCAGAACATTGTAGACATAATAAATAAATCTTAAAAAAAAAAAAAAAAGCAAAATGAAATTTTGCGTTAAGAATGTGCCCAAGAAGGTTTTCTTTTCTTTTTTTCCCCCTCCTTTTATGGTTCTGGAGATCACACCCAGGATCCTCTGTATGTTAGGCATAAACATGCCTTATGTCTCAGACCTCAAGGAATTACTTTAGAATGGGTGATGTGTGCTTCCCTGAGAGACAGATCATGTGTGCTGACACCTAAGAAGCTGATTCTTGCTTTCCATGTGAGCATACAGCGAGGTGGCGGCCATTTATCAGCTGAAAGAGACAGAGAGAGAGAGAGAGGGAGCACACTCACCAAGGACCATACTTGTTTGGCACTTTGATCCTGGTCTCCCCAGCTCCTAATACTGAGATATAAATATGGCTGTTAAGCTAAAAGGAATGAGTGGGTCTAGTTCAGGCTGGCCTCGCGCTCTCTCTATAGCTGAGCATGACCCTGAACCCTGAATGTTCACTGTCCTTAATCTTCTCCAGTGCTGGGACTGCACAAGTACCATCATGCCTGAGGCCCTGGACTCAATGCCCAAGTGTTTTTGTTTTTTTAAGATTTTATTTTTTATTATAGGTATGTGTGCATGTGTGCCCACAGAGGCTAGAAGAGGAAGCTAGAGTTATAGGCGCGTTACAAGTTGCCCAACGTAGATGCTGGAAACAGACCTCAGAGCCTCTGGAGTTGCAGTAATAGCTTTTAACTTCTGGGCTATTTCTCCAGTATAATAGTTCTTTTAAAAAATATATTCATGGTAATTTAAAAAAAAATCCTATTTGCCCTCCCCATACCTCCCAGATCCATTCCTCATCCCCACTTCTTACCCCCAGTTTTTTAAAATTCAGCTCTGGCTAGGCATGATGGCACCTGCCTTTAATCCCAGCAATTGGGAGGTAGAGGCAGGTGAATTTCTGAGCTCAGAGCTAGCCTGGTCTACTGATAACACCAGGCCACATAGTGAGACCCTTTGTCAAACAATAAAATAATAATAGTTAAGTTAGATCTGCAAAGATCTGGAGAGAGGAGAAAATTCCAGGCAGAGAGAACTAGCAGATGGAATGTCCTAAAATGGGACAAGCTCACACAGGAAGCGTAAATAGAAGGGCCCATTAAGAAGTGGAATCTGGTGGGTAGTAGCAGGAATGACAATAAGTAAGGTTAGACCAAAAGGGCTGTCCCTAAGGTGCGATCAGATCAGATCCTACAGGAAGGCAGGAATGGGAGTCTACACACCAATTGGGAGACTGCTGCCCAAACTAAGAGGAAGAGGGCTGGGGAGAGGCTTAGGAATGACAGGTAAGGTAGCGCTGGGAAGGAAAGGCAGGTTAATATTGGAAGCCTAGGCTCAATGTGACCTGCTGGATCCCAGATGCTCTGAGCGCAGAAAAACATCTCCTCTGTGGCTTATCTTACTGCCGTGCTGGCTTCTCACCACCAACTTCAGCCTCTCGCTCCTGCTCCTCAGGTACGGCTCCCACGGCGCGTTTTACCGTTATAAGAACAGCATGGGCAAGAGTCTCCCACTCTTTTATATCTACGACTCCTATCTGACATCCCCTGAGGCCTGGGCCCATCTCCTGACGCAAAACGGGCCTCACTCGATCCGCAACACTCCTTATGACGGGGTCTTCATAGCTCTGCTGGTGGAAGAGGGCCACACTCATGACATCCTTGCCGCAGGATTCGATGGAATGTACACCTACTTTGCCTCCAATGGCTTTTCCTTTGGTTCCTCCCATCAGAACTGGAAAGCTGTGAAGACCTTCTGCGATACCAACAACCTGATGTTCATTCCTAGCGTGGGGCCTGGGTACATCGACACCAGCATCCGGCCCTGGAACAACCATAATACTCGGAACAGGGTCAATGGCAAGTACTACGAGACAGCCCTGCAGGCGGCCCTGACCGTGAGACCTGAGATCGTCTCCATCACCTCTTTCAACGAGTGGCACGAAGGCACACAGATCGAGAGGGCTGTTCCCAAAAAGACGCCAACTCGCCTGTATTTGGACTACCTGCCTCACAAGCCCGGCTTGTATTTAGAGCTGACCCGCCGCTGGGCGGAGCACTTCATCAAGGAAAAGGAACAATGGCTGATGTGAGGGGCTACCACCCAAACCTCGCCATGACAGGTCGACATGCTGGTTCAGCTGAGGACATAGGCACTCACTATTCCCAAGCAGCAACTGGGTGCTTGTGGGTGGGCCAGCCAGCCCATGGAGAACAGCTCGGCCCCCGGACTTGTGCTGGGAGGCAAGGCCTGATGAAGGGGGAGGCTGGCAAGTGGCTGCACGGGACTCAAGGCAGCTCCACATCCCTCTGAGCCTTCACCTGTGGCAGGTAGTTGTTAGTGGAGTTGTGCAGGCCACTGTGCTTAGAAGGGTCTCAGGGCTCTGGGCTGACATGCACCTTATTTCCTCTGGACAGCCTACATCTCAGGCCACCTCCCACGTCTTGCTGAGCACAGGGAACCATATTTGATGATTCTAAGAAGGGGACTTTAAGGTCCTTCCAGTAGAGTCCTGTGTCCCATTACCAGGAAACACTGAGCACCCACACTCATCACTAAGCACCTGCCTGTCAGGTGCTGGGAATTCGAGCAAGTTCCCTTCCCAAAGCTTACAGGATCCCGCTTTTGGTGTAGCTAGCACCCTGGCTGTTTTGCTCTTTGCAGCTACAACCAGGTCTGGGAGCTCAGCTATTTTTCTTCCAAGAAAATACCTCTGCTTCAGAGCCTTTCCCAGATGAACATTTAGCCGCAGAAGGCAGGGAGGGACAGGACTAGGTCACCCACTTCCTTCAGCCATTTAGGCTGGGGAGGCCACTCACTAGGGTAACTTGCAGTGCTACTGTGATTTGTATTAAATATGAAATGGTGTTTGCCAGTACACACTCCTCTTACGGCCCTCATAAATGCCGACTTGTAGGTCAGTCTGTGATAAATTAGTGTATGGCTGGGCTGGCTAGTTTTAGCACAATGGAGATGGGTTTGTTTAAAAGACTAGTTTACATAAAATTTCTAGAAGGAAGTTAGCAAGCCAGTGATTATTTACAAGTAAACTAATACTAACTGTGAAGATCCTTGTTAAAGTAAGACACAATATTTTCAGTAAGAGTCTCAAAATACACCTGGAAAGAAAATGTTCACTGGACTAGTTTACAGGATAAGGCTGAGGCATAACTGGAAAACAGATGCAAGTAGGGGAGGATGAGGTGGAATACAGGTCATCCCAAGGACAACCAGCCCAGTCACTGACACTAACCCCACTTGACAAATATGCAGGGCTGACCACCCAAGCCTGTAGGTTAGTTGAAAGGGCTGGACCTAACCAGTGGTTTTTTATTTTGTGCATATACAATTTGAATATACCAAGGCAGCAGGAAGGGGCAGACATCATCAATGAAACCTGACTCAGATCCTCTGAAGGCTAATCTACATCAATAGCCATAATGCACAGACACACTTTGACAGAGAAATCCTAAGGAAATAGTTCAAAAAAAATATAAACCATTTACAACTGTCTGTAACATTAATTTTTAATAACAAAGACAAGACACAGCTCAAATAGCAAAAATAATTACATAGAGTACTTGGTACACGTATGAACAGAGATAAATTACACATAGAATTATGCCAATAAATAAGAAAGTCACTGGCTGAAAAAGACAAATTTTATTTTCCAGTATTATTTCAGTTGGGACCCTCTAGAATAATTTCCCGAAAACGACCACTCTCTGTTACCCAGAAAGCTTTGGCCTGGGCCCTAGAGTTTCCTGCCCTGGTCCTGAGACTTCCAGACTATGCTAGTGCTTCCGCCTGGTTTGACATCAAGTACCACCGCCCACCAGAAAGCAGCTCTTAATGCATTCTAATTCTGTACTCAAGGTACTTAATTTAAGGGGTGGGCTCTTAAAATAATAAGGCCCCTTTAAGACCATTCTTACTCTGTTCAACTTTGGTTGATATTTCAATCTACATAGTAAATATAACCACCCCCCAGGTCCAAGGCTCAATCTGCAGCTTCTGGCCTTTAGTGTTCAGAGACAGGGATGCTGCATAAAAAGCCCGGCTACAGATGTAGCTCCAGGAGCCTCTGCCAATGAGGCCTTGCCAACCAGTAGCAGACACATGGTATCCAGCACAGTCCTTGGGTCCTCCCAAGTCTCATGAACAGGAGCCCTGAGAAGGGAGCAGCCCATACTTCTGCTGGAGAATGGCTGTGGTATTTTCCAGGGCACTGAGGAAGACACACAAGGCAATTACAGTCTGACTTCTCGGCAAAGCCCACCAAAGGCTAAACAGCTTAAGATGACTGTCCTACTCTCTGTTCACCAAACTTGAATCGTAAAAAGCCAGCCATATCAACAAATTTAATCCCAGCCCACACCTCTTTGTGGTAGCACTTTTTTGACAGCGGCAGAAGCAGCAGTGGTGACGATGGCAGCTTTTTTATTCCTTTGGAGACAAAGCTTCTCTGTGTAGCCTTGGCTGTTCTGAAACCTGCTTTGTAGACCAGACTGGCTTGAACTTAGAGACCCGCCTGCCTCTGTCTCTCAAGTGATGGGATTAAAGGTGTGCACCACCACCACCACCACCGGTGAAAATCTATACTCTAAAGCTTCTCTTTTCTCCAACCTCCCTCACATATTGCAACTGCACAGAAAAGAGACTTACCAGCCTGGGCGAATAACGCAAAACTTTCCAGGCACAGATAAATCAACCACAGTAGAGCCGAGGCGACACTGTGGGCTTTTACTATCCCCAATTGGTCCCCCATCAATGATCAGGGACAAATGAGGCCAGAGGTCTTGGAACTCCTGAAAAGAGAAAAAGGAAGGGCATGTCACTTGTATACATGGCTCACATTTAAACTGAGGCATCTTCCTCTAAGAAGAGGAGAAACCTCTTAGTTATGGCTAGCTATGTCAAGGGCACAATTAACACCCAGTATATGATCATGCACCAAGTCTGAAGTCCCTTGGGTATACACTCCATACCTTTCATAAAGAAAACCTTAATGTACCAAAAGGAACTCCTAAATACTTCAGGAGTTGGAAGGCTTAGGTCCAATAAGTGGCATGCTGGGTATGAGCCCAGAGATGTGGCTTTTAACACCAGAGCTTCCATCACATCTGTATGATGTATATAGAGCACTTCATTTAGGCCTCTAAAATGAAGTTCTAGCAGCCTGACCCTAGACCTCAGTGGAAGTACAGATCAGAGCACAGAGAAGAAAACAGGGTGGGCTGTGCAAGCATGCCATCAGCCCTCAGTCCCTGGGCCGTGGGGAGAGAACTGGGGGCTGTACTGTCAACTGCACTAGATTCCCTCTGCCCACAGCGAAGTCTCCAGTGTAGGCAGGCCAGGGTTCTGGTGATAGGAAATCCTAAATACCAGCTCCAAGTAAAACAATGACTGTGATGGCCCAGGGTTGTTGACAAGGTTAAGAACTTAACCCTCTCTGGGAACATCCCCACTCAGTTCCATTCTGTATAGCTACCAAGAGCAAATAAAGCACATACTGCATTTCCAAGAACCCCTGCTCTGGCACAGAAAATGCCATCATTTTTCTGCACCTAATTTAAGTGTTTTAAGAACAGAGAGCAAAGTTTTCTTTGTGTGCTCATTTGTCTAAACCACATAGCCAAGACAGGGTTACAATGATCTTGCTTCAGGCAAGCAAGATATCTGGCAAGCAAATATAAAAAAAAAAAAAGGCCTGGGAATCCTGAGTTCAAGGTGAGCTTGAGCTACAGTTGTTAAGACCCTGTCCTAAGCCTTTAATCCCAGCAGCACTCAAGAAGCAGAGGAAAACAGATCTCTGTCAGGTCAAGGCCAGCTTGTTTTATATAATGAGTCCCAGGCCAACATGGGCGACATAGTGATACCCTGTCTCAAAGAACAAAAATAAAAAGAGAACTGGCAAAAAAGTTGGGACTGTCATTTAATGGCTATGTGACAAAGAAGTGAACTAATGTTTTAGAGCCCCAAATCTTTTTCAGCACTGTTGTCAAGTCTCTGATTACTTCTCCCCTCACAAAGCTGTCTTTACTTTCTATAATCTTTTCTTTTCTTTTCTTTTTTTTTCTTTGAGACAAGGTCTCTCTATGAAGTCCTAAAACCCACTTTGTAGACCAGGCTGCCCTGAAACTCACAGAGATCAGCCTGCTTCTGCCTCCTGAGTGCATCTTTTCTATTATTATAGATAAGAAGAATACATCTGATCTCCCCTTCTCAAGAAAAAACCATTCCAACACATTAAAAAAAAAAAAAAAAAAAAAAAAAGTTTCTGGAGGCAGGAGAGACGGCTCAGTGCTTAAGAGCACTGGCTGCTTTTCCAGGGGACCAAAGTTCAATTCCCAGTACAGCAGCTCCTGTAACTCCATTTCCAGGAGATCTGACACCCTCACCCAGACATATATGGAGATAAAACACCAATGCACATAAAAATTTAAAAAATCCTAAAAAAGTTTTTCTAAGTAACTCAGGCTGACCTTGAGGTTTTCTTGCCCTGACCTCTCAGTGCTGACATTACAAGCATGCACCACCGTCTGACCCCTTCCAAGACTTCCATTTGGACGCCCTCCTCTAAACCATACCAAATGAGCAAGCTTCTCACTGATGGCACCAAAGGCCCAAATTTTTGCCAGGCAATCCCAATACAGTGTCAGCCTTACTGGTTTTGAGGAAACAGTAGTTTAGCCTTCTGGGGCCAACTCTCACCTCAATAGTCAAAGAACTGGCCTGGGAGCTGAGGTTGGCACTTGTGAGTGCAAGTGGTCCCCCAAACATTTGGGCCAAGTTCTGCATGAAGGCATGGTCAGGAATCCGGATGCCAACAAGCTGTGAAGAGGAATGGGGAATGTGAGAAAGGCATCAAGGGCTTGAAGGACTGTGATTTAGATCACAGAAAATGCCAAACCATGACTCACGGGAGTAAAGGGGTTGAGGTCTTTGTTGAGCTCCTCTGTGCGTTCCATCACCAGAGTCACTGGTCCGGGTAACAGGTCTTCCAGGAGCTCCTTGGGTACTCTCACCTGACAGTACCTGGAGGCAAAGGAGCATAAATCCACTCTAAATCACCCTGATGGACCCTTCCTGGACTGAAGGCAGATACAGGGAAGGGGTCCTTTGCGTGTACAGGGAGATCTGCCTGCCTTTCTACTTCCTCTTCCTCGGAGCTCTAGCAGAAGGCTGACTCCAAAGAACCCCGGGCTTGACATCTACAGGCCTGTCTTGGGGAAAAAAAAAATCAGAGCGCCGTGACAAGAGAATACAACCTCAAACTGTTTTATTATCCTCAAGACTCTCCTTTTTCCCGCGGGCTTCTCTTCTGTACATCACAAGACCACCAAGAGAAACAGTGCCATGCTTGCCTAAAGCGGAGCCTGGCACGCGTTAAGCGCTCCCAATGTATTTCCAGTTCCGGATTCCTCGGTGAGCCAGGACCAGCCCCTCCCGCACTCGCCACCTCAGTCTCCCAAGCCTGTCACCGGAAACCCCTCCCGCGGTGCCGCCCTCAGCGGGGCCGGGTCGGGGAGGCCTCACCTGTAGACGTCGGCCACGCGGCCCAGGCACACGGCCAGCGGCTTAACCTCACTGCGGCCCTTGAGGCGATACACGCGGCCCAGGGCCGCCGAGCAACTCGCCGAGCAGGCCAGACCATATAGCGTGTCAGTTGGGACCGCCACCACGGCGCCGGCACGCAGCTCGGCCACGGCGGCCCGCAGCGCCTCGGTCCAACCGGAGCGCTCGGGGCTTGCGGCCTGCACGGCCCCGCTCTCCGGAAGCCGCAGCAGCCGAGCCCCTGGCACCACCGGAGCGGGCGCGGGAGGGCGTAGAAGGCGGCAGCTACGGCCAGACCCCGCTGGCCCGTCGCTCAGCCCCATGCCGGTCGCCACCGCGGCCCTCAGCCCCGCACACGAACGCGCAGCAGACATCCATCCAGACCCGCTTCCGGGAGGAAGTGACGCACGCTCCCAGCATCCGGCCCGCGAGGCTCGGCCCCGCCTCCGTGCCGGGCAGCTTAAAGGGACAGCGACCCCCAGGCGACTTGAAGGAGACCGGTGGGGACGGGGCGGGGCGCAGCTTAGCGGAGCTCTCGCGCGGCGCCGGGGCGGGGGCGGACAGCAAGAGGGTGGTGGGCGGGCGGCGCGGGCGGCGATGGAGTGGGGCCTGGGCGCAGGCTGGTCACGGGGGTGAGAGCGGGCCCGCGGGGCGGGGGCAGGGGCTACGACCTCGCGCCGCCCAGCGCCGGCCCTGACGCCGTCTCTCTCCCGGGCAGGGAGGCTGCCGGCGTGGACCGTGGGAAGGCGGGGCTGGGGCTCGGCGGGCGGCCACCCCCGCTGCCGCCCCGGGATGAACGCGCCCAGCAGCTGCTGGACGCCGTGGAGCAGCGGCAGCGGCAGCTCCTGGACACCATCGCCGCCTGCGAGGAGATGCTGCGGCAGCTGGGCCGCCGGCGCCCGGAGCCGGCTGGTGGCGGGGTCAGTGCCCACTCCGGGCTGGGCCTGGGGAGGTGGGGTCTGCCCACTGACTGCACTGGCCAAACTTGCCCCCGCCCCAAAGGAGGCGGGTGGAACAGCGTGACCACCGCTTGACACTTAAACCTTCTTTGATCTGGGCGAGGTTTTTAAAAAGTATGTCACTGTCGAGATGCCAAGTGGCCTTCGCCTTGTGGGGCCTAACCTAAGGCTTTCCTTCCCGGCTCATTTTTTCCCCCCTTTCTGTTCCAATTAGAACGGTTCAGCCAAGTCCGGAGCGCCGCCGCAGCCAGCTGTATCCGCCAGAGGTGGCCTTCCAAAGGATTCTGGCGATGGAGCTGCGGAGCCTTGATAATACCCTAGCCGGGCACCCTGACTTCTGTCCCTTCCCAGGGCCGGTGGCTAGACTGACCAACTCCCTTCACTAAAGGGGCCAGTCTTCACTGGCAGTTGCTGGTACTTGGCCCTCAGCCTGGGATGGCAACTCTGCTAGCAGCTGGGTTCACTCCCACATCGTCTTGGCTGAAGGCAGTACTGTGCTTTGAAATGTAGCCAATGAATATCCAGTTCTGAATACTCGGATTCGGGAAGACCAGCAGTGCTGGCCAGAGTGGTCTGGCCTGCTTTGGGGGTTCCAGGTGGTATTACATGTTCATTTCATGCTTTGGGGGCCCTCGGCCCCACAAAACACTTCAGCAGAGTCTTGATTAAAAGGAAACCTGCAGACCCCCTGTTTACCGACTTTCCTTTCTGTTCTCTCAACCCCAAGACTTGATGGCTGGGCAGTGGGAGATAGTGTCAACCAGGGGCAGGGATGGGAAGTAATGCCACAGGTACTACCAGATTTAAATAAGCATTTAATTAAGATTTCATTAGTATTTAATATTGCTTTCTCAATTCCAAAAAGTTAAAATTTCACTTCATAGCAGATATTTTAAAGTACAATATTAAGTTTATACAAAATGAGCAATTAAGCAAACACCATTATTTCACATTCTTCAAAAATACAAATTCGTATTAATTTTTTTTGTTTGTTTGTTTTGGGTTGGAGGTTTCTTCCTTTGGAAGTACTGAACCTGTAACGTTTTCATATCGCTCAGTGGAAGTCCGTTGTTCCCATGTTTTACATTTAAAATAAATTTGATACATAATCCAAATACAAGTATTTGGGACTTAAAAAAAAAACTTGTCACTGAGACCACCAGCCAATGATTAGTGTGTGTTAAAAAATAAAGAGTTTGTGGCCTTTTCTGGCTAGATCTGAGCCAGATAACCAGGAAAAAAAAAAAAAAAAAAAAAAGCCTGTTTTCCGGCCACCTTCCCCAAACTGGGGCTAAGGGGAGCACACAGGAACAGGAACAGCTGCTTGGAAGTCCAACCTCAGGGACATTTTCTCCAAAGTACAACAGAAGATGCAGACTGTTGACTCACACAGCCCTTGGGAGGCCTGAGAACACAGGAGGCAAGGGCAGACAAACCTCTGACTTGGCACCACAAGGGCAATGAGGATATTGCAAAATCACCCCAGGTTTTGGTGATGAAAAGTTTTACAAAAAATTTCCTTAAAAAAAAAAAAAAAAAGTAGAAGCTGTCTTGAATTGAGAAAGTGACAAGACATTATCACCTACTTTTGGCCCAGTAGGCTACAACCAAAGGAGCTGTGAACAGTTTTGAACCCATTTAGAAAAAGCTTGTACTATATGCCTTGACAGACCCAATTTAACTTGCATTTTCAGTGCAGATTCAGGAGCCCTCATGCCACTAGGAGTAACAGTGAGAAATGCCCAGGCTACCTCTCCAAGAGCAGGGGCATAAAAAACAAACAAGACCCTACTATCTTTGTCCCAAGAATATGCAAGAAACAGGTCAAATAGATTGACCAATCAGAAATATGCATCATCCGGCCTCGTGACAGATGCCCTTCCACCTCAAATAAGACATGGACAATTCCCATCCATGTTACAGCAGAACCACCTGCAAACTGCATCTGTGAAAATCTTGCTTTGGCTGAAGTGTATTTAAACTGCCTGTACAGCTGGGAGTTTGCGAGTAAGTGATAACCAGTGAGGGAGATTATTAGTGGCGCTGTTCCTGGATTTGATGAAGCATAGAAGTCTTCTTTTTTGAACCGACACAGGTGGTGCAGTGAGCATAGAGAAATGGTTTGTATTGCCTTTCTTCCAACATATTTCTGATTGGGGTGTGAAGAAGCTGTAAAGGAGCCACAGTGGCGCAGTTCCACAAATCCATAGTCTCAGTGATAATGGAGGAGCCTTTACCTTCAATGGATGTGATTACAAAGATGACAGTCTAGAAGGTGCTAGGTTTCCACCTAGGAACAACCTGTCCCTTCCCTTCATTTTGTCATGGTGAAGAGGTAAAAGAGAGAGAGCAGGGGGACCAAGAAAAGTGGTGAAAAGGGACCTCAACAAGTCAGAAGAAAACAGCTGTAGCAGTTCCTCGGAGGGCCTGACGGGGCACCCGGGACACACAGGGAAGGCTTGCATAGATTGAGCAGCTGCAGAGACACACAACAGTGTTTCCCTATGGACAGCTTCAGCACAGGGCTGATGGAGCAGAAAAACAGGCCAGGCCAGGGCCACATGGGATAAGGACTGCCAAGCTACACATATATTGCACTGGAGTAAGTGCTCTTCTCAAACCCCAACTCTTTATTCTCAGCAAAAAAATAAAACTTTGCAGAAAGTATATATATATATATATGTGTGTGTGTGTATGTATATGTATGTGTGTGTGTGTGTGTATATACACACACACACACACACATACACAACAGAATTGCAGCAATTGGGTTAAACATAAAGTAACCTAAAGTGCTTTTTTATTATTTCTTTAATATATCAATATGAGGTTCTGCAAATTTGTCCCTCTGGACACATTCAGCATCATACAAAGCCTCTGGAAAAGCTTATCGGGCCCTCAGGTACCTCTATTACCCCGTCAGTCCACTGCCTTGACCTGGAAAACCTCTTCCCATCTACTGACTGTCTGGAAGGGAAGGGAAGCCCCGCTGCCTTCTACCTAGGGAGGTCTCCCTATCTCAAGGTCTCTCCTTGCCACTGTACCAGGGTCATCTAAACTGGAGTAAGAATAAATAACACCACTGTCACCTAGCTAGTGCTGCCCCATGAGGTTGGCTAGACCTGTCAAGGAAACAGCCTCCTTCCCTCAGCCTCACCCTCCTGCCTGGAAAGAGCCACATTTGTAAGGCAGTTTGGTGGAACCAAGATTACCTGACCACCCCTCAGTCCACTAGCAACCCTCTCTCCTCTTGGTGTGGACTAGTCTCTAGGAAGGGGCTCAACTGGAGATGCTAGTGGTAATCCAAGTATGCTCTACCCAAGTATGGTGACAATGGTGACGGCTGCCATGGGAGAAGAAAAGGCTTAAATCCACCTGTCAGAATTCAATCTTCTTGCCCTTACCCTAAGTTCATTCCCTTGAGAAACCACTGTTTCAAAAACCACATGAAGGGTTTTTCTGGCTCTGCGTTGGCCAGGAGGCTCCCTCTTCTCCAAGGTCCTTGTCATTAGAGGCCGGGTTTGTGGGAGAAGGATGGGAGGAGAAGAGTGCTAGCATAGCATGGCAGGAAAGCCCGCCTACCCTGTGTAATGCACCCGGCCATGCAGAACTGCTGATTCCAGGCATATTCCTCACTTTCCAGAAGCCATTTGGATCTGAGTCTCTTGTGTTCTAAAATCACCCACAAAGGCAAATACTTAACTCCTTTACCTAGAAACACTTCAGCCTCAACACTGCTCAAATGTTTCTTCACCACCCAACGGTGGAGAATGAAAAGCCAATGACCCAAGAAGGGACCATTAAGAGTACAGCCCTAGCCAACCAAGAAGCCATCAAACCATTAAAACCTTCCATATATCCTCCCTAGGCTCCTGTTTCCTATGTCAGCTCTCAGGGAACCAGAATCCCAGGTCATGAGAGGCAGAGTACGTGGGAGGACCATTATTGGCCTTTGATACAAGGTCACTGTGGGGTCACATTCACTGCTCTCCTCAGCAAGGACCCGAATACAAAGCTTCCTGTGGATATCCGCAAGTCTTAGAAACAGGCAAGCACAACCTGTACCCAAGCAGCTGGTTCCCCAGAAGGACTGACCACTGTGCCACCAAAGGCTCTTCCCTACCTGCCGAGGCCTTTGGTGGCCCAAACCCACCAGCCTTTTGGGGTGGGGTGTCAAATCCTGGGATGGGAGATCAGCTGCTGTCCCTATGCCCATTTCTCCTCGTTATAACCGCCATGACACTCTTGGCCAACTGTCCCCAAATATCTTGCCTGAAGACAAGGGCCTTCTCCAAGGACACCATCCTGGCTGGCTCTGAGCAAAGGCCCAGAGAGCAGGAGGGCAACCTACACAGCTCTCTCTCTGGTTATCTTGTCTGAGGGCCAGACCTTGCTTCTTGCAGGAGGCGGAGGCCTCCTCCAGTCTCTGGACGCAGCTACTTTCTAGGCTTGCCAAACACTGATGGCCACAGTAAATAGCCCAAGGACAATAACTCCCATTCTCCTATGGATTGTACTTAGGTTTGAAGAGGCAGGAACCTGGAGCCAAAGGCAGACAGATGGATATAATTCTATACACACACACACACAAAAAAAAAAATCCTATAACACACTTAATGAAACATTCCAAATGAGGTAACTGACTGCAAGCTTCAGGCTTTTTGGTGGAAGGGGAATTTTTTTGTTTTACCCTGAGTAGAAGATCATCGTTTTAGGTTTTTATTCCTTTTTGTTTAGAAATCACATCCTTGTTTGCACTACATGAGGCTGTATGCAAAATCTACAGATGGGAGGGATGCAGATGAGAGGGGATAACCAAAAGCCTGGCTAGACCTGGGTACCAGAATGCCTGCCAATCACCTGCTACATCATCCAACTCTCTTAGATACATACCTTCTCTGGAAAAGTAGCCTTTCTGCTCTGAGGAAACAAACACCACTGAAGGCAGGCAAACCCTGACAGCCACTGGCCATAAACCTCCTGTTCACTTTAGGATAAAATAGGGTGCTTCCTAAGGAGAGATGAACTCCAAGCTCCAGGTCCTGACAAGCACCGAGAAATGGAAAGAGCCAAAAAGTCAAAGACCATGGCTGTGCTAGCGCCAGCCCTAGCATATTATCAACAGAGCTGTTAACAACTGCCTCAGGGCCCTGCAGAACCACATCTTCACTATGGCTAGGAGGCCTGGAGCTGCCCCTTAGCATTGAGCAGGAAATAGGAAGGCCCCTCTGCATCTACTCCAAGCTCCACAGAAACCAAGCATCAACAACAGAGCAATCTCACCCTGTCCAACTCACACCTCTTACCTGCCCTTGCCACTACCCACTTCCACAGAGCAGTGGTCTGGCCCTTCAAGTGTTGCCTCAGATTTAAAAAGACACAGAGGGAGGAGCAACACCTGGCACAGTGAACTCTCCTGCCCAATCCACAATGACCCCAGTGCAAATGATGGGCAGTACCAAATTGATGAAAACCACACCCTTTCATTTAGAACTTTTATGCATACGAGTAACCTTAATTTCCAAGTTCACATAACAATAAGCAAAGTGACATACAGTGCAGCCAGACAGTTCACTTATAACTTAGCTTTTTTTTTTCTTTTTTTTTTTTTTCCCTCAAAAGATCAGTTCCTTAAAATGGATGTTCCTGGGATACAAGTAAAGAAAATAAGCCTGAAAGGTGAGGCTTTCAGATGGCAGATTTCTTCATCCTTCCAATTTCTGACCCCATGATGGCAGCATCAGACCCGGTACTTCCTGCTCACCCTGTTTCTGGAGGGGCATGCACACAAGCCCTTCCCCTGGAGAAGCTGCTGGACAGGCTCGGCTCCTCTACCCTGCAGTAGTGCTTCACGGTGAACTGGATTGGACGGGGTGTCCAGGCTCTGGAGGGACAGGAACTCTGACGCATCCATGGCACTTAACATGTTGGAGGGTCTGAGGGGCCTCAGCCTGTTTGTTTTGCTCACAGGAAGAGGGTCCGGTGGAGGATGAAGGGGAGCGGGGATGAGGGAGAAGTCTAGGGTGGCAGCTGCAGGCTGGGCCCATCAGGAGGCTGGGGGTTTGGCTCTGGAGGGGGTGGGGAAGAGCATCCCTTTCTCCGGCCTGCCGCCCGCTCCTTTGCAGAGTCCCGGCACGCACACTGACACTGACAGGCCTCCTCTTGTTTGATGATGATCACAGGAACACTGAGGCCAATCTGCTGAACAGAGCTCCCTGTGAGAGAGGCGAGAGAGACTGCTCTTCAAGTGGCCAAAAACAGAGGCATGATGGGCAGGGGAGTAGGAACTGGGGAGAACTGAATGCCAGGGAGGTAGGCCTGATAGGCATGAGAACCTTTGGGTTTTGCTATGCTTTAAGTTGGACTAGGCTCCAGCACTCGGGAGACAGAGACAGGCAGATCTCTGTGAGTTCAAAGCCAGCCTGGTCTACAAAGTGACAGGAACAGCCAAGGCTACATAGAGAAACCCTGTCTTGAAAAACCAAAAGCCAAAAAAAGAAAAGAAAAATTGGACCAGGTTCTTTCTCAGGGAAAAGCCTGTCAGGGTTCTCCCGTCCCTCTAAGATCATGCTTCCTTCTTAGAAGAGCCACCCACAATCTAGATGCGCCCTGTCTCTCTCTCTGCTGCCTGTCTGTGCAGGCCATAGCAGATGCCTCCTCCTCCTCTCGGCTCTTCCTTTTGTGGGCAGCCAGTGCTGTTCTTGGGGAGAATTACTCTCTTCTTTCAAGATCCAGCTGACTCCCTGCTCTCTGCCTGCCTCAGATGGTGGTCCCTGCAGGCTGGCCAAATGACTAACCACAGGCAGCCAGTACCGAGCACCAGACCACATGCACACAGCATTGCTGCTTCTGCTCCGCTTTCCACACTATACAGGACCTGCTCAGATCCCCAGCTCCTCAAAACACTGAGCTTCTCTATGTGACCCATGCCTGACACCTGACACATGGAGATGTGAAATGATCTCCCCTTACACAGCCAGCCTGTGACCTGTACACATTCATTTCCATTCCCACTTAACTCTCATATGCATTAATTATGAACATGCTCCAATCCATTCTCATATCACACTTCCATGTATTCTGCACACATAAGCTCTGTACTCAGCCAGGTTCCGTGTACAGCAGAGCTGAAAGCCAATAAGAGGACACAGGGTGGGAATGAGGTGGCCAAAGAGCTCCCTACAAGTTCATTTATAATCTTTGAGAGTCAATGAATTATCTTTTCTTCCAAGACAGGGTTTCTCTGTGTAGCCCTGGCTGTCCAGGAACTTTCTCTGTAGATCAGGCTGGCCTCATACTCACAGAAATCCACCTGCCTCTGCTGCCCAAGCACTGCAATTAAAAGTGTGCACCACTATGCCTGGATAGGCCCCAAATTTTATCTTTCCTTCCCGTCACTCATTTCACCCCCTTAAATTTGTTGTTGTTTTGTGGGGTTTTTGTTTGTTTGTTTGTTTGGTTGGTTGGTTGGTTAGTTGGTTTTAGTTTTTCAGACAGGGTTTCTCTGTGTAGCCCTGCCTGTCCTGGAACTTACTCTGTAGACTAGGCTGACTTTGAACTCAGGAGATCCACCTGCCTCTGCCTCCTGAGTGCTGGTATCAAAGGCCTGTGCCATCACGACCCAGCTACCCTTAGTCAGTCTGCCATTGCAGGAGTTTTCCAGACTGGCCTAGAATTCACTGTGCAGCACAGGCTAACCTGGAACTCAAGAGCTGAATTTTCTGAATCCTCCTGGCCTTGTAGCCATGCACCACCAAAGCTGGTTCCCGGCTTAACACATAAAAAGAAAGTTTCAAGAGAAAGTTCTGGCTGGGGAACATAGCTCAGTGGTAGAAAGTTTGAATAGCATGCACGAGCTTCTGGGTTCCATCCTCAGTACTAGCAAAAAAAAAAAAAAAAAAAAGAAAAAGAAAAAGAAAAGAAAACACACTCAAATGAAAGGGCCTTTCAGCTCTGTGTGAGTCTCTGACCCGGATGCAGCTGCTTCTTACTGTAATTAGAAAGAGCCCTGTGAGTTAACGACAGCTCTCCTTAGCAGTAACTGTGATTTAACCGTCTTTCTCTTGGTTCCACACATACTCTATCAAGGGGAAAACACTTGGACTACGTGAAGAGTGAAGCCCATGTTTTCACTAGCAGCACCCTGGCTTCTGGTTACCATGAGAGCATGGGCTACTCAGTAAACAATGGAATGTCAATCTAAATAATTTTCAAAATTGTGGCAAGGTCAAAGAGCTCAAAGAACTTTCTTTTAAAGCTAACACAGAACTACATACCTGTGCTACTGGCTACTGGTACTGCAGTGGTAAAATACACCTGCTCGACTTTCGATGCTGGCTGCTGAGGAAAGCAAAACAACACATTAAAATCACACTCATGGCTACGCCTATACGGCAGACATCCAAGGCTCCAAAGCCTCCCCGATTGTAGTGGTCACCAAGAAGACAGAAAACTCTCAGTGTTCAGGCATTTTTGTACTGAAGGGTGTTTTGTTTGTGCACTGCTATGAGGTCACTGCACTGTTTGACATTCTGTGCTGACATTCTAGCAAGCTTTGTCCCATTACTTGGCTGTCTCCCATTTGCCTAGTCCAGTGGATTGTATGTGTCCAGACACTTTTCCAAGGTTGTTTATCTCAAGCGATGGCCTTCTCAGAGGGAGTCCTAAGCTAGCTCTGTCCATCCCATTCTCTTGTGAAAGCTGGAAAGTTCCTCTTTTCCTCCCCTCAGGGTCTAGAGTGACCACCCAGTGCAGCCTAAGGCTCTCTATCATGAGCACACAGCACTCCAGGCTCAGGAGAGTCCTACTGTAGGTCTTAGACTTGGTTAAACCAGATTCATGTCCAGGCCCTGCCACCTGTCAGGTAAGCGACTGAACTTTTTCATTTGTTTTTGTTTTTATTTTATCAGTCAAGTTCTCACAATGTAGCCATGAACTTCTGATACACCTGCTTCTACCTCCCAAGCTGAGATTGTAGCCAAGGGACTTATTAGAGCCTCTATTCCTATATGAACTGGGTGACAACTCTGAAGATGAGTGAGGTGGTACATAAGAACACTCAGCATAGAGGCTCAGAGCAGCCAGTGAACATCAGCCTTTGCATTGTTACCATGAAGACCCTAATTGTGCATAGGCACAAAGCACACAGGAGGGTAAGGCTATAAGGTCAGGAGCACAAGGCCAGCCTTGTCTATAGTGAGTATGGGACCAGACCTAATGCAAGATACCCTTGTCTCCAAACAAACAAACAAACAAACAAACAAACAAAAACCTGTACTAGAATTCCGCTTTACTCCCTATTATATTAGGGTTTCTGGGGGCTGGAGAGATGGCTCAGCAGTTAAGAACATTAATTGATCTTCCAGAGGACCAGAATTCAATTCCCAGCATCTTACATGGCAGATTCTATCTCTAGTTCGAGGAATCTCAATGCTCTCTCTCCTCCACAGGCACTGCATACATGTGGTACACAGACATATGTGCAAGCAAAATAGCCATACCTATTAAAAAAACTAAGGGTTTTTGTATTCTTCAAGTCTTGTCTTAAAGAAGCATATTCTCGCTCTTTTCTTTCTTTCTCTCTCTCTTTCTTCTTTCCAAATTTACTTTAGAGACAGGGTTTCTCTGTGTAGCCTTGGCTCTCCTGGACCTAGATCTGTAGATTAGGCTGGCCTCCAACTCAGAGATCCGCCTGTCTCTGCCTCCCAAGCGCTGGGAGTAAAGGTGTGCACCACCACTGCCAGGCTTGGAGCTTTTTTTTTTTTTTTTTCTTTTTATCCTATTCTAAAACACAACAAAATGTGCTTCAGTCAGTCTAGGAAGACTTTGGATTTCTGGCTAAGATACAGATAGAACTATAAAAGGAAATGACAGAGGCTTTGGAATGCAATGTGGTAGCGGAACACTTGCTCAGCTTCAGTCCCCAACACAGGGGTCTGGTCTTCCTCACCACCTCTTTTTTTCTTTCTGTGTGTGGGGGTGGGGGGAGAGGGGACACATAGGATCTGGCTTTATAGCCCAGGCTGGCCTTAAACTTAGTTCTCCTGCCCATACCTCCTGATCAAAGGGATTATAGGCATGAGGCCCATATTTAAGCATATGCAAATGAGTCAAATGGAAAAAGAATGACATTTGTTTTAACAGCTCCCCAAGGGCAGATCCAGAAAAGCAATACTTTAAGCAGGCAGACTGGGACAGAATATTGGAAAGGCCATTCCAATGACCCTGAACATCCAACATGCAAACAGGCTACCTCTGCAGGTGGCTGCCAAGACATTTCTAAACTGCCTTTCCAGGTTGTTTATATCCATGCACAAATTTCCCTCTGTAGTCCCTCCTACTTTCCACCCAACTCCCAGCCACAATATTTCTGAAACATTCCTGGACCTCTTGAGTCTGCTGATTTTTTTTTTTCCTTCACTAGAGAACCCAACCTTTTGATGTTACAAGGTGAACTTTGTGTTCTGCTAATGTTGAGCCAAATTCATTGCTATCCTGGGACACGCGCAGCCCACAGGCTGGGCATGCCCATGTGACACTAGATGATGTGATTATTCATTCAGATGTCTTCACCAGGTAAACTTTAAAGGTTCAGGTGTGCTCACTTGGTAAACTTTAAAATTGTTTTCTTCATCTTTATCTTAGATACAATCCACTCCCCTGGATCTACAGCACTTTACTGGGGGAAATAGCAATAAGGAAACATGTCACTAGACATGCTAGCCATTTCTCCCTTGAAATAAAACACTGAAGGCTGGGGATCTACTCAGTGGTAGAACACTTGCCTGTTCTACCTTCCTTGTGTGAAGCCCTAGGTTCAGTCCCCATTCCTACTAGAAAAAAGAAAGGAAGGAATGAACGTGCTCTTCATAGGCACTTCACTCGACTGGGTGTGCTGATGGGGAAAACTTACAATTTGTTCTTGGTTTTGTGGCGAACTGGTGGCGCCGTTCAATATCCACTGTAAGTTCTGCTCTCCCATGACTAGGCTGGACTGCAGGATTGCGGTGTTGGGAGTTGGGGTGATGGTTATGGTAGGATTATTAGTTAGGACAGAGTTGGCACCCAGGGGCAGAGTCTGGACCATAGCAGGCAGGGGCTCAGTAGTACTTTGTGGTGGGGCTGATGCTGCCACAGCTGATGCCACTGCTGCTGCAGATGCAGGAGCCCCAGCAACAACAGAAAGTCCTGGTACGATGGTCTGGGGTGGCGCCTGGGGGTGCGGAAGAAACTCTTGATGATTAGCAGCAAACTGTGTGCTGTGGGGAACAGGCACTTCTGGAGGTTGTAAGAGAGCAGGAGGGTTGCCAAAGGCAGCTGGCTGAGAACCAGGTCCTAGGGAGGAAGCAGGTGGAGGAACGGACGGATTGGAGGCTGGTAGCAGAGGCTGGGGTGGCTCGGAGATGCCAGACTGCAGTACGAGTGGAAGAGATAAAGACGCCGCATTTCCTGCAGGTGGAGGGACATCACTGACCGACTCTGCATCGCCATTAAAACTTTCAATCAAGGCAGCTGGCGAGGAAAAGAAGAAGAAACATGGATCCCAATCCCAAGACTCAGAGGCACCACAGAAACAGTCTGTCATCTGCTAGCTATCACTGCTAGCTGGTCTAGCCTCCTGCTTTCTTTTCTGCCTTAGGTCCAAGTGGGCTTTCTGTTCAAGCACACTTCACAGACACGGGTACTAAGCAATTTAACTAGAACAAACATGTCCTGTGGTTCTTCTACAAAGAGAAGCAAGCTTTTTTGGCATAATTAGTCATGAGACATTTGGCAGCGGAAAGCTGTATTGCATAGACACTTCTATTCCACCAGTGTTACCAACATGTAAGAAGCCTCATCTGTGGGTCTCACACACTCATGAACAAAGCAACACACTAGAAGGAAAAATGTCCACAGCTCCCGCTGTTTTTTTAAAACCAACAAGAGACTGAAAAGAAGACCTTCTTCCTCGAGCATCACAGGGAAGGTGGAAAAGGGTGGAATGAAAAGTGAAACTTACCTGTCTGCAGAGGATCATCCTGAATTGCAGGGTCATCTGAGTTCTGGAACATCGACTCAAAGATGATTGCTGGTGAAATTGTGCTGAGGTCCTGGTCCTGTGTCTGACAGGGAGAAAGGGGTGAGATTTGCTATCCTGAGAAAATCTTCCCCTTGAAGAACAAACACAAAGCAGAGGAACTAGAATGATCTTTTGATAGGACTCCTGTTTCAATCCTCCTTTTTTTTTTTTGTAGGTTCTGGAGACTGACCCAGGGCCCTGCATTCCATACCAAGATATATCCACATACTCAGCTTTGTTTTGTTTTGTTTTTTTAAACAGGGGCTCATTAAATTACTCAGGCTGGTCCTGAACTGCCTCGGTCTTTGTGCACTAGGATCAAAGGTGGGAGCCATCATGGCCAGCATCACCTCCACCTTCTGCAAAGGAACACGTTTCCCTGTAGCTCTGACCAGCAGTTTTTTGTTTTTTAAGTTTTGCTGGAATGCACAACACAGGGGTGCTATTTTCACAGTACATCAACAGACTAGTAGTTGTGACAGAGACTATGAGCTCACAAAGCCTGAAATGTTTACTCTGTGGTGTTTCGGTGAAGGGGACTTGGGGATGGGCGGGGGTGGGGTACACCCCGGACACACGATGTACTGCTAACAGTCATCTATAACTCTAGTTCTAGGGAATTCAACACCCTCTTCTGACCTCTGCGGGCAATAGGCATGCAGTGTGCAAGCAAAACACTCATGTACATAAAAATAAGTCTAATATAATATAATATAATGTTTGTTTGTTTAGTGTGCAGTGGTGTTTTGCCTCTATGTGTATCTATGTGAGGGTGTTGGATTCTTTGGAAATGGAGTTATAGACAGTTGCGAACTGCCAGGTAAGGTGCTTAGAATTGAGCTTGGGACCTCTGGAAGAGCAGCAGTGCTCCTAACCACTGAGTCATCTCTCCAGCCACCTAAACCCTGCTTTAAAAGACTTCGTCCTACATACACATGAGGTTACAGTCTGTACATTATTGCTGTGATTTGCTGTATGGAAACTCCTGTTAATTAAGCCAAAATGATTCCTTCTTTAAAAAGACAAAGAAGCTGCTGTGATAGTGCAAGCCTTAATCCCAGCACTCTGGGAGGCAGAAGCAGGTGGATATTTGTGAATTTGAGTCCAGCCTGGTCTATCAAAGAGTCCAGGTCAGTCAAGGCTACACAGAGAAACCCTGTCCCAAAAAAACAGAGAGAGAGAGAGAGAGAGAGAGAGAGAGAGAGAGAATGAAAGAAACTCATGCTAGGGCTTAATCTCCATAAAGCTTAGGGTCAGATAAGGCCAACATGGAGAGGTTTAACACTGGATGCTACTGGCTTCATAATAAGGGAAGAGGCCAGGCCTAGCAGCACAAGTCTTTAATTCAAGCACTTGGGAAGCAGAAGTGGGTAAATCATTGTCAGTTCCAGGCCAATCTGGTCTAGATATTAAGTTCCAGGCAAGCCTGTCTTAAAAATTAAAATAAAAGAAGAAAAGTATTGTGACATGATTTTGTGCACTGTGTATTCAGATGCTGACTTCTGTGCCCAGAGGTCTGGTTGCAGTACAACATAGGCATTTTTATTATTGAAGAATCTCAATGGTGTATAAAAACAGACTGAGAAAATTAATTCCCAACAATTTGCTCCTCTTACATACGAGTGACATATTATCTTCCAAGGTCATTACACAGTTTCTGTAATATTCTATTATGTACCAGAGTAAGAAATCAAACCAACCTAAAAACCTCAGTGACAAAAATCACTGAAAGCCTTATACTTAACAATATGCCACGGGCTGACGACATCTCAAGAACTAAATGGTGGGGCTGGAGGGACGCTCAGTGGTTAAGTCCACACACTGCTCTTGCAAAGCTCAGTCCTGAGCACCCATGTGTAACAGCCACCTAGGACTCCAGCAGAATCCGATGCTTCTGGCCTTCACGGGAACCTCACATCACACACACACACACACACACACACACACACACACACACACACACACACACACTGCCATCTCAGAATTCTACATGGCAAAGGCATCAAGTCCACAAAAGTCTAGGAAAGCAAGAGGATTCAAGTTGACAGCACGGCAGTGATACCTTGGAGTGGATGCACCCAAGTTGTCTAAAGGCTTCACTCAAATGCATCCTGGGACAGTGTAAGCCAGGAACTTCCAAAGCTTAAGTCAGGGTTAAAAATAAAGATGTTGTTTTTTGTTTTCAAGAGAAGGTTTCTCTGTGTAGTCCTGACTGTCCTGGAACTCACTCTGTATGGACCAGACTGGCCTCAAACTAGAGATTCATCTGCCTCTGCCTCCCAAGTGCTGAGATTAAAGGTGCACCACCACTGTTGGCTAAATAAAGATTTTGTGTGAACTTCAAATAAAAGTTAATTGAAAGCATTCCATCCAGTCATGGCCTCTCTTGCCTGTGATCACAGGAGCCTGGCTGAGGATGAGCAAACCTGTTAAACCTGGCCTGGCCTACAGAGTGAGATCTTGTCACAAAGGAACAAATTTTAGAATGAGGGAATAAAAAAAAAAAAAGAGTGGGATACAAAGTGAATAAACTGTAATTAATAAAAAAATAAATAAATTTTTAAAATAATTTTAAAAAAGGAGGGAAGGACACAAAAGAAGAAATCTGAGGGCAGCTCAGTGGATAAAGGTGCTTGCCACGTAAGTGTGAAGACCTAAGTTTAAATACCCAGAAGACACAGAAAAGGCTAGACAGCAGCACGAGCCTACGCAGCTCCAGCTCTCCACAGCCAGAGAGATGGGAGCCAAGTCCCCAGCTCAGGGGCTAGCATGCCTGGTGGAAACCAACCACGAGGCTCTGCCTCAAAACAACACGGAAGGTGAGCACCAACACCTAAGTGGCAGTGGCGCCATGTATTCTCTCTCAGAAACACACTGGAGGGATAGGGAGTAAAGGGGAGGAAGAAGGGGAGGAAGAGGGAGAGAGAAAGAGAGAGGGTGGGAGAGAGAGAGGTTATAAGAAGGGTTGTTTTGCGGCTCAATCCTGTAATTCTAGCACTCTGATGGGAGGATGGCTGCGAGTTTGAGGCCAGCACAGACTAACTATACAGCCTAATCCTGTATCAGAAGAAGGCACTGTATTATAAATCAAGTTTCCTGTTCTGTTCTTTTTTTTTTTTTTTCCAGAGAGGACTTTATTGTGCAGCTACAGCTGGCCGCTAGGTAAAACAACCTCAAACTTGCAGCAATCCTCCTGCCTCTGTCTCCCAAGAGCTGAGATTACAGGTGTGCAATACCATGCAGAGCTACAATTAATTTCTTAAACTGAGTGTTTCAAGAGAGAGAGAGAAAAAAAAAGGAAGCCAGCATGTGATCCCTGGCATAAAGGCCAAACCAGGAGAAATTAAATCGCCTGTGCTGGTGCCGAGGTGTGATGACTGGCCAGGAGCACATTTATGGCCCCTTCCCCCCTGTGCATGCACAATGCACCTCAATAAAGGTTCCAAAACAGAGAGCAAGAAAGAGGGTGGCAGGAAGAGGAAGAGAGGGAGGAAGGAGCGAGGAACAAAGGATGGGCACTGAAGCTCCTGCCAATTTCAGAGCAAAACCCTTGGCTACAAAATTACTGGGAATTAATTCTTCAAAACAGAGGTGAGAGCTGGGCATGGTAGCAAACACCTATAATCCCAGCATTCGGGGTGGGGAGGCAGAGGCAGGCACATCTCTGCTAGTTTGAGGCTAGCTGGGTCTACAAAGCGAGTCCAGGACAGCCAAGGCTACACAGAGAAACCCCATCTGGGGGGGGGGGGGAGTGAGGGTGGGCTGAGCTCTGGGTCAGAGCAAGAAAAACAGCATGAGCTGTCCAGGTCCAGCCCAACCACTGTTGAGTAGCCAAAAGGGCCAGTGGCCACTGCCTGATAGATCCAGCCCCTTCACAAAAGGTTGGAGCAGGCCAAGTTCATTTATAGGGCACACAGACACAGACACCTTTAGGACGACAACCTCATACAAATTTATCACTTGATACTATCAAGTCCCCGTTATTACAAAACATCACATTAGTCCTATTGCTTTAAGTAACTGTGATGTTGGTTTCAAAGACTAAAAAAACGCCAGGCAGTGGTAGCACACACCTTTAATTGCAGCACTCAAGAGGCAGAGGCAGGCAGATCTCTGTGAGTTTGAGGCCAGCCTGGTCTACAGAGCTAGTTCCAGGACAGCCAAGGCTACACAGAGAAAACCTGTCTCAAAACAACAACAACAACAACAACAAAGCCTAAAACTCTCCAAATCTGGGCTAAACACTGGGTACCAGGAGCATAACACAGACAAGAGGGTAGGATTCCTCTCTTTACAAAGATCACTCTGTTGGCAATGGTGTCACTTTTCATAAACTTCTTGAACTCCTAGCTTTCCTGCCTTTATTTCTCAAGTGATGGGATAACAAGAGCCACCATGCTTTCACAAACTTCTTACAGTTCCCATTTATCAGTTATTTTTCCTAATGGCCTCCCAGCTCCCAAAAACTTCTAAGTCTTATGTCATAGTCCTGGCCAGCAGAGACTTCTCTGCTATGTAATACAGTTAAATGTTGGGCTTCAAGGTGGCTCTGTGGTTAAAGGAAGCTGCTCATGCAAGAGTCTAATGTCCTTACTTCAATCTTCAGAGCCCAAAAATTGTCCTCTGACCTCCATGTGTGCTGTTGCATGCATTTTATACACAAGTGCAACATCTGTGTGCACACTTGGAGTAAAAGGAGTACTGTACTTAGGAATGCGTTAAAGGAGTACTGTACTTAGGTAACTCAGAGGGCATCCTAGACTATCATGAGTATAAACTTTAGAAAGTTTGCTCTGTAATATGAATGACAAACATCTGGAATATTTAAAATGTTTCCACATTTATCCTCCAGATTAAGTTACCTCCAACTTAACAAATGATTCTTTTCTGTTTATTCATTGTTAAGTCTAACCTAAGGCTCTTTTACGTGCTGTTTCTTCCCATTCTTTTAAGTTGCACTTGACAGGAGCCACATATGGCTGTTCTGGAGACCAGAGGACAATTCTGTGAAGACAACTCATTACTTTCATGAGACTCTAGACTGCACCTAACTTACCTTATTACTTTCATGACACTCCAGAGACTGTACCTACCTTACCAGGCTTGAGTGGCAAGCGCTTTACCCACTTAACCTACTTGACAGCCTCTGTTCGTTTTTTTTTTGTTGTTTTGTTTTGTTTTTTGTTTGTTTGTTTTTTGTAGCATAGCTCCTTGAATCTGTAATCTTGCTGTACCTCACAAGTGTTAGGATTTCAGGTAGTCATTTTAATGTCCATGTACCAAGCCTGGCTTGGTTTATTTTATTTATTTATTGGGAGAAGATCTCACACATATATAGGCTGACCACAAATTTCTAGCAATCCTTCTGTCTCAGCCTCACAAATAACTAGAATTAAAAGCATATACCACCATGCCTGGTTTTCTGTTATGTTTTGTTTTTTTGAGACACGGTTTTTCTCATGTTTTCAGCCCTGACTTAGTAGACCAGGGTTTTAGCCCTGAACCTCACTTAGTAGACCAGCCTGGCCCTGAACTCATGGAGATGCACCTGCCTCTACTGCCCCAGTGCTGGGACTGAAGGCATGTGCCACCACTGCCCAGTTTGCCTGGTTTCATTTTTAATAATTTGTTTCTCACTGAGACTTCCTATCTGCATAAACACATTCATTTATGTCCACAAACAAATGTTAGCTATGAAAACTTTCTGTCTGGGCTAAGGATTTAGCTCAGGGGTAGAATACTTGCCTGGCATGTATCACACCCTAGGTTAAAGTCTCCAGTACCACAACATGTGAGTGTTCCCACAAGCTGTACTCTGACTTCTAAAACATGTCTCATACAAACATAGGTGTACACACACACACACACACACATGAGAAGAGGGTGGAACTCAGGGTGTTGTGCTTGCCTAAATTCCCAGCCACCAAACATCTCCCAAAAATACTTTTTAATATGGCTCCCAGCAGTGCTGATTCTGTGGCTGTAAGGGAAGCACAGGAGCATATACTTTAAGTTATTTTCTTGTTGTTCAGAGACAGGTCTTAGCTTACTCAGAATGGCCTCAGGCTTCTAGGCTCCAGTGACCCTCCAGTCCACTACCAATGGGAGGTCACACCCAGATAAGAGCCTACAGTCTCACAGCACTACTGTTGACTCTATAACCTCCACATTTTAAGAAATAGTTTTCCAGTTCAGCATGGTGGCTCACATCTGTAGTCCCAGCATCTGGAAGGCTAAAACAGAAACATCGTTCTGACTTTGAGGACAACCTGGGCTACACTAAGTGAGACTGTCTCAATCTACAAGACAATTAAAAAAAAGGAGCATTTCCCATAGCACTTGTAAGTCACTCAGTCAGTGTTTAAACACATTCAATTACATTTACTCATTATGAAGAATGACAGAACATCTAGCCTGAGCACAAACCTCAAAATTAGTGTTGAGAAAACATGAGAACCGCTGGACTGTTGATGCTCAGACTCCAAGCAGTGATCTGTTAGCAGGTCATGGAGCCACAGTGCCAAGATGGAGTGGGCTCACCCCTTAGTGGAGGCCTGCACAGGAAGCCTCCTTCAAATGCCCAGTCAGGTGAGCTCGAAAAAGGAAAGAGCCCAAGGCAGGCGAGGCAGGCAGGGTTGAGAAAAGCCTGGGAACTCTGAAATCTAACTAGGCCTCAAGTTCCTTGAGACCAAACCAGATGTTCCAGATTGCACTGTGTGCTGCACGGGGGCTGCTGGAATAGTACTCAATTTGTATCTGCCTAAATTAGTAAAATACAAATCTGAAACCGACAGACATCAGATGAACAGGCTAGGCTAACAGCATGGCCAGGGTACAGAAAAAGAATCCTCCCTCTCACTGACTGAACACAACTAAACCCAGGAGGCTTCACACTGGCCTACCGTGTTTCAAAGAGGAAGTACCCTAACACCCTTTCTCAGGAACTTACTGTACTGGAATTTTCTTGCAATTCTGAATCCGTGGACAGAAGGCCCAACTCACTGAGATAAAGTGAGTGATTTGTATCCTGCAAAAGAAAAAAAAAAAATCCTAATTGAGCAACAAAAACCATAAATGAAAATTACAGCAGCACATCACACATAATAAAATACTTGATTACCAAGTCCTTAGGGTTCAAACATCTGCGTCACTAATATCGGACACGTCCTGGGCAAGGGTTAAGTAGACAGTCTCATTAAAAAGAAAACCAAATGAACTTAAAAAGAAAACCCCTTCATATTCTTATTAGAACATCTCCTCCCCAACTCCGCTTCTTCTGAGGCAGGATGTCACAGCCCAGCACAGCCTCAAATTCTCTTTACGGCCAAAGACGACCTTGAGGTTGGGACCATCCTGCCTCCACCATCTAAATGCTGGGACTGTCTCTCAAAGCAGTTAGTAGTAGTTGTTGTTGTTTTAAGCTTAATTTTATGTCCGTGTTTTGTCTGCATGTATGCCTGTGTACTACATGTGTGCTTGGTGTTCAAGGAGGCCAGAAGATAGCTTTGGGTCCCTTGGAACTTGAGCTACAGACTGCAGCAAGCCTCCATGAGGGTGTTAGGAATCTGAGCCCAGGTCCTCCGCAAGAGCAGGCAGTGCTCTAAACCTCTAAGCCATTTCCATCCAGTGGTTAATAATTTTTAAATTATCTTTTGACTCAAGTTGCAGAAACAAAAACAAAAAGCAAAAGCTGGACTAACATGAAGTTACTAGTATTCATATAATGCCTCTCATCAGTATAAAGTGATTTCACGGGACTTATCTGCTATTCATGTAACCTGGACAAGTACTATTTTATACTCTTCCTCAAAAACACAAGATCGATACTATGACAAGGGAGTGATGTGCCCCAATCTACACCTAAGTAAGAGAAGACACATGTAGAGCTTCTGACTGAGAAGTCAGTTCTCCTCCCGTTAGTGTCTCCACACGGGCTTCCCAGGTTCATTCTGGAATCATACTGACAGCAATTCTGAACTCTGGATTCCTGAACATAAGTCACAGTTCTGACCCTCTCTCTAGTGGAACTCTGCTTACACTCCAGTGGGTCAGACATTCCCACCCATGCATACAACACACACAGATGACCTTCACTTATCCATATTCTGCTTTCCAGTTTTAACTACCAAGCCTTGACCCTCCATCATTAGAGAAACCCTGCCTGTGCCACGCCATGAATGCTGCAGGAGAAACACATATGGACAGGCCACCTTGCAGAAGCTCTATCTTATCTGGGTGAAGATGTCAGTGGGGGGCTGGCACTGTCAATGCTGGACTCTGGGCACTGCAGATGGGACCCTACAGCCCCAGACCAGGGCTCATCCCTCTGCTGAACAGCACACAGGGATGCAGACAAGCGCCCTTGACACTGAATATACTGGACTAAAGGCTCAGTGTGACGGCTATTCTTGGTTGCACACCTGTGAGGGACTTTTTATTTAATTGGATCATTTGAAGTGTGACGTGAACCACTTGTAATCACAATCTCTGAGGTAGGAAGACTCACTCCTAATCTGGCCACATCTTCTGGAATAAAGGGCATGGAAGATGGAAGCTCTCTCTCCTTTGCCCGCTTCTTCCTGCCCTTGCTACCAAGTCCATTCCATCATTGGCATTAGGGCCTACCTCTTCAGGATCCTGATATATTCTGAAGACCAGCTGAGACATCCAGCCTTGTGGACTGAACAATTACAGGATTCTTGAACCTTCCAAGATAGATGTGTTCGTAAATGTGTGAACCCCTTCATTCTATAAATTCTGTTACTCTCTCTAGAATACCCTGGCTAATACATTCAGTGTTGTTTGCAGTTCAAGTCTCCAAGCACTGCTACAAAATGAGAAACTGATTATGATGAGCAGTTTTTGCCTGGTTTTATCAGATGAAGAAATGGAGATGCCCAGAAGCAATCTGCCTAAGGCCATGTGATTACTGACAGAAGAATGGTTTGAACTGGAGCTGCTGGGCACCAGAGGCCATGCTCTTCACAACTAATGCTACCTTGTCTCTAACAATACAGTACAGGCTGGGAGGCTGGCTCTGGAGTCACACTGTGTGCCTAAGTCACACGAATGACAAGCTATGTAGACCTCAGCCTGCTATCTAATTTCTCCTTGCTCTAAGGTTCTTAATCAGTACTGTGGAAATGGTGACAATACTGACCTCATGCAGCTGTGAGTGAGTGAGGCAGCACCTAGCAGATTCTGGTACATTTTAAAATTCAACAAATACTAGTTGCAGTATTATTACTAACAACTTAAGCATCCTTTTCGTATTTATTCTGGTGTGCTGGAGGAGGGTGCCGGAGCACACACGTGCAAGTCAAAGAACAAGTTACAGGGGTCGGTTCTCTCCTTCATCGTGGTTCAGGGAATCAAACTCAGGCCATCAGGCGTGCGGCAAGCACCTTTACCCACTGAGCCTTCTAATCGGCACAGAGGCCTTTTGAAAGGGTCCTTCATTGTTTACAAATTAGAAAGCACAGACACCTGAGTGTGCTGTCGCTCTAAAAATATAACCCTTACTTCATACTTACTGAATTTCATTATTTCGAAGGAATCAGCCTGGAGCTGGGGAGGAATCCAGACTAAAGACAGTAGAGAGGGCCCTGGCCAGAGCAAGATACTCTGGTGGAAAGTGAACAGGGAGGGATCCAAACCAGATGAGGTGGCAGAGAAGTCTGAGGAGGGAGGAGAAAAGGGGCTAAAACCCTACTGAAGCCTAGCTAGGTGTTATGGTGCATGCCTTTAATCCCAGCATGCTCTAGAGGCCAGCCTGGTCTTCAAACTGAGACAGGACAGCCAGGGCTACACAGACACACCCTGACTTGAAAACAAAACCAAACAACAAAATCAACCAACCAACCAAACAAAACCACTTAGCCACTTATTACAAAGATCCAGACAAAACACTAGGAGTGGCCTAGAACACAGTAAATCAATTCCAGTTCTCAAGGTAGAACTGACAGTTGCCTCTTCCAACTTCCATTTCTGTATTCACAAAAAAGTAAGATAATGGTATTACTCACTTTCTTTTTCTTTCTTTTTTTTTTTTTTACACATATAGGACAGTGACTAGTACCAAACTAGAAGTAGAAAGAGGGTTGACAAGATGGCTCCGTGGGTAAATGCTCCTGCTGCCAAAGCTGATGACCTAAGTTCAAGCCTTGTGACCCATATGGTGGAGGGTGAGAACCATCTTCCATGACTGTGCACTCAATAGACAAAAAATGTAAAAAAGAAAGAACAAGCAACAGTAAACGTCCCAGGATCTTTCCAGAATGGAGCTGTAGGAGACCAAGATGCATAGAGACTTCGAGGGGACCCAGAGTTTACGAGAAACACACCTCAATGGTGACGAGCACCTGCTGCGCTTGCAGAGGAGCCAAGTTCAGTTCCCAGCACCCACAAAGCCCCTCTCAAACAGCTGTAACTCTAGTTCCACGGGATACATTGCCCTTTTCTGCTTTCAAGAGCACCAGGCACACAGGCTATATATGTACATGCATTCATGAAGGTAAACACCCATCCACATAAATAGAAATAAGAAAATCTTAAAAAAGAAAAAAAGAAAAAAACCACACCACCTAAAATGTACAGAGGCCTCCTCTGTGGCTCAGTGTGTTACAGCAGGTACCCTCAAACCTTTTGCTTTGCAGGCAACTCAAGGGGCAAGGGAACCCTCTAGACTAAGCTTGGTGCTCTGATGTTGATGGATATGTTTCCATTCCAAACATAGTATAGACTTATCACCTATTACAATCACGAATGGGAAAATGACACTATCTTAAGAGTTCTGGGCCAGGCATGGAGTTCATGGCCATAATCCCAGCACCTGAAAGACTGAGGCAGGAGAATTATTGTGGGTTGACTGAGATTTTTGTCTCAAAACAAAACAAAACCACTGGGCCTCTGGTCACAGCTCAGTCAGTAGATTTCAAGCCCAAAACCTATGTTTAAAAATAAAAGTTGGGGGGCTGGGCGTGGTGGCGCACATCTTTTGTCCCAGCACTCAGGGAAGCAGAAGCAGGCGGGTCTCTGTGAGTTCCAGGCCAGCCTGGTCTACAAAGTGAATCCAGGACAGCCAAGGCTACACAGAGAAACCCTGACTTGAAAAACAAACAAACAAACAAACAAACAAACAAAAAGCTGGGGGGTGTGGTGAATGCTTGTGACCTGTACACTGGGGAGATAGTCATGAGGACCCTGAGGCTCTCTGGATGGTCAGCCCAGCCTACTTGGTGAGTCCCATGCCAGTGTGAGAGCCTGTCTCAAAAGAATAAAAAAGAGAGGGATAGACAGTTGCTGAGGAGCAACACTTAAGAACATCCTCTGATCTCAAGCAGGTACACATGGGCATGTACTGCCTAAATGTACTCTTAAGTACATGAACACACAAGGGGTTAAGAGACAGACTCTACCTGGACCTTGAAAACCCAGTCAATGGCCCATGCTCCTCCATGCTTGCTGGATGGGAATGCAGCAGGGCTGAGCAGGGAGGCTGGTGGCATTTTTTGGCTTCCACCATCCCATAGCAAACAGAGATCCTGATCCTGTTTCTTTCCCCCTAGTTAACCAAGGATTCAACAGCCACAGACAACCATTGTCCTGCAGTACCCAGGTCAGAACAGGAGACAAGAACAACACACCTCTGATCCATTGTGTTGTGGAAGTGCACTGTATGCGGTGCCTTTGTTATCGTGACCTTTCATGTGACTTTTGAGACTGTATTGAGTGCTAAATGTCTTCTCACAGCCGTTACTGGGGCAGAAGAAGGGTCTTTCGCCTGCAAGAACAAAGAAGCCATATTAGTTTCACCACCAAAGAATGAAGAAGCCGTGTTAGTTTCACCACCAGCAAAGCTCTCTCCTTCTACCACAGGGAAGGTCTGAGCAAGAGCTGCTCCAAACTGAACCAATTACTGCTGACTCTTGGTCTTAAAACCCAGTGCTGGGCTGGGGAGATGACAGCCACATGGTGGACCACAACCACCTATACTAGAATCCAATGCCCTCTTCTGGCATGCAGGTGTACTCGCAGATAGAACATGCATAACATAAATAAAATGAAATCTTAAAAAAAAAACCCACAACAGTGCAGAGGAAAGCAGCAGCCTGTACCTGGAGGCCTGGAGAAAAGGCTGCTTCCTCACAGTTCTTTCTAAAGGGCACGTCTGGTTTCATGGCTTATCACTGAATTCTTGACTTGGTCAGTCATGAAAGACACAGACCATGGATGCCTGTGCTTACTCTTACTCTCTTAGTTTTACAGGTCTCAAGAGGAACCTGGATAGAGGTCTGCTTGAGGTTTAAAGAAAAAAATGAAGATTACCATGGGCATGGTGGCATACACCTTTAATCCTAGCACTGGGGAAGCAGAGGCAGGTGGATCTCTCCAGCTGTAGGCTAACCTGGTCAATCGAAGTAGTTCCTTGACAGACAGAGCTACAAAGAGACCTGTCTTGAAAAACAAAAAACAAAACAAACAAGCAAACCAAAAGAAAGAAAGAAAGGAAAGAAAGACAGAACTCAGCCTACACTTACCAGTGTGCGTACGGACGTGAGTTTTAAGGTGGTGGCTTGCTGCAAATGCTTTTCCACAGCCATCGTGATCACATCTAAATAAGTTGTTCAAACAAAGACAAACAAGAGTCAGTAGATAAGAGAACTTTATCCTGAACATCCTGTGCATACAAACTAGAGCAAATGTCTAGAACATTAGGATCAGATGAGTCATAGGGATGTAGAGATGGGAATGAGAGGACTTGGAAAAACCAAAATCCAAAAACATGGGGGCTGGCAAGATGGCTAGGTCATGTAGAGGGCTTACCACCAAGCCTGATATCCTAGGTTTAATCCCTGGAACCCACATGACAGGAGAAGAAACAACTGTAGCAAATTGTCATCTGACTGCCACAGGTGTACTGTCACACACGCAATAAACAAACAAACAAATAAATGTGGCAAGAAGGGAAAAGAAAGGTGGCATATCTGGAACCAGCAGGAGCTGAGAGTCTACGAAAGGTATCTTTTAGCCTGTAGGTGGGGCAAGTGTTGAGAGCATCCCAACAATAAAAGTCTAGTTACAGAATAGAACTGTGCTGACAATGAGAGTTATGTGGAAAATCTATGGCCACTGAATTATTATTATACACAGCAAGGGTGAGCAAAGAGATTTAGACCTATAGACCTGTATCTATAATCCGAGCATCCCAAGAGGCCAAGGCAGGAGGAGGCTCACAATTTCACAGGTAGTGTGAGTTACACCTTGCCTCAAAACAGAAAAAACAAACAAACAAACAAACAAAAAAAAAACAGAACAAAACACAACAAAAAAACTGGTATGCACGGAGCTGGAAATACAGCATAACAACAAAAATCAAATGCAAAGAACTGGTGTGGCTGTAGCCAAGGACCAGCCAGCATCCTCAGTACTTAGCGGACTCCCTCCCTGTCTCCGACAAGGTCTCATCCACCTCCAGCTGGCTTCCAGCTCACTGTGCAGCTTTGATTATACGCATGCACGACTATGTCTGGCTTATGCAGTGCTAAAGCTTAGGACCAGGGTGTCATGTTAGGTGAGCTATACCCTTAGCTCTCGAATATTTTTTTGATAATCAAAAGCCAGAACAATCTTCACACCCTCAGGATTACTAATGCATTTATCACATGTTTTAAGACATCTCAATCTTATTTTACCTCTGTGCACACTTGGGGTGAGAATGTTTGTTTGTTTGTTTGTGACAGGATCTTACTAGGTAGCCCAGTGCTGAGATTAAAGGTGTGTACCATTATGCCAGATGTGTGCATATATATATTTATATACTTTCTCAAGGGAAGAGTCTTTGTAGCTCTTCACAGTGTTTGAGTTCTTACAAAGCAAGAACTTAATACTTACATATACAACCAAATAAATTTTCTTATATATCTAAATATCTTGTGTTTTTAAAAAGAAAGTGTCTTTAAAGCCTTTTGATTTTTACTCACATATAATCATCACCGTACCTCTAATATTAGGTCCCCTCTAATATTCAAGACAAAGCTGTTTTAATTATCACAAAAATAAATGCATGTATCTATATAGAAATAAGAGTCCTCCTAGCAACCTTCGGGGGAGTGTTTAAGCATCTGCAGAGTAACTAACTAGACTCTAACTTCCTGTTCTTAAAGGGGCTGAGACTCAGGAACAAATCTGTAATTTAAAACCTCAATTTCATTTAATTGATGTCTTAAGAGCTAGCTGTTCCCGAACACTTTCTACCTGCCTCTAAGTGTGCTCAGATGGAAGGGTGGCATATTTGATGCTGTAACTTTAAGCAGTACCCCCTGTCAGAATCCAAGGACACTGTTGATGGGGAATTGCAGCAATATTAAAATACAGTTATGGGGATCCTTACAAACTGATTACCCTATCAAACTGCCACATACTCATCCAAGGCTGCTTCTGAACACTTACTGCATACTTGGAACCACGCCACATGTGATATGTGATTAGAGAAGAGAAGAGATGGTATTAGCCGCCTCATGCTTTCTGTAGAACTAACCATAATGCTCAGGGCTTAGCTTTGTAGATTTATCTACTGTGGATGTTGGGGCTGGGGAGTCAAGAGCATTTACTGCCCTCGTAGAGGACCAAGGTTTTGTTCGAGCTCCACATGATCTGATATTCTCTTCTGGCCCCTGAGCATCAGCCCATATATGACATGCACTCACACAAATACAGACTTAAAAATAAAATAAAAATATAAATTTGGACATATCTACACAAAAAGCCTGTGGCCCTGCATGTATACAAATGAGATGCTAGAAGCAGCAGCCGAGGAGTAAGCTCAGCTTACAGCATGCAGACCACTCAGCTCTGCCTTCCTCCCTCCCCAGTCTTATAGTCTCCCTTCGTGACACACCCAGAACTTTGGCTGACAGCATCAGACACTGTCAACAACTCTGTGGATCTCAAGTCAGGACGTTTGTTTTGTTTGGGGGAAGGGTACTTGTAATGAAAGTTTTGGTTCCTTTGTATGTTATGTAAATATGCTTTTGTTTTAATCCCAAGTGTGGCATTTTAGTTGGGCTATAGTTTGTCCACACCTGTTAACTGTCTCATGGGAGCGTGGCTTTTGTCAGCTGGTAACCACCTTCCACGTATGGCATAGAGAGGGGTGTGGTCTAGGACTCTTTAGAGTATAAATAGGAGGCCAAGGAAGAGATGGTGTGGAGTTTGCTGTGGTGTTTGGTGTTGGTGTGTGGCGTGTAGCAGTTTGGAGAGACCAGAGACAGTGTGGTGGTTTGGAGCAAACAGATGGAGAGAAATGCTTCTGGGCACAGCGGTGTGAAAGAGACTGCTAGCTGTGTCTGTGTTGACAGAGATTGGTACAGAGCCTAACAGAACCTCTTGACCCTAACTAGCAGGGAGAAGTAAAGGGGTCTGGGCCCCTCTCCCCACTAACCTTTTTGCTCTTCTACTTAAGATTGGAGGGGTTGGTGGAAAAGAGGTAGAGGCCTAAACACCCCAAATAAAGGAGAATTTTCAGAAAGAGCACTATAGGTACTGATAAAGGGTCTTACTCTGTAGCCCAGGCTACACCCCAGCCCTTGACTACGGATCTCAGCGCTTCCCTAGGACAAAGGAAAACATCTACCACATAAGTCAAGGTCAAAAACACCTTTTTAAGAATACAGAACAAGAAGAGGCAGAACGGCCCCCACCCAGGGAAAGATGCTCTGAGTCCCCCGGCACTCCTCAACTGGCAGCACGTGGTAACAAGCCAACACTACCACAGGAGGAAACAGGTGAAGGAGCTTTCTTCCTACTGTGTAAACTTCCTAGAGCCTGTCAAGATACCCAAATAGAAAACAAACAGAATAGTGACAAATAGAAAACAGCAAGACCTACCGAAATGGCTTTTCTCCTGTATGGGTTCGAATGTGCTTCCGCAGATCACTGAGTGTGGTGAAGTATTTGCTGCAGCCTTGAGATTCACAGTTAAACGTTTTCCCTGTGTGAAGCCTCTGATGTGCTTTCAACCTGCAAAATGTTCCAGAGAGCTGCCCATGCAGAATGTACCATAGCCTCCCAGCGCCAGCCAAACACACCATAGGATCAAGTGCACCAGAATGCTATACCAGGGCATATTAGCATCTGAAACTCACCCAAAGGAAAATCAAAATATAGTGGTGTGAGCATTAACCCAAAGACAGGCTTTGGTCTGCTGACACAAACGTGGAAAAAAAATTAGACATCAGGTGGGCAACTCCCTACCTCTCCGGGTAGAGGGAAGTCATTGCAAAGGCTTTGTGCCAACCTAGCCTTGCGCCAATAGGAAGATTACTCTAAAGGCCACGATGTCACTCCTTGAAATGGAAATCTACGCACAGGTGTGCCAACATTTTCACCCAGCCCATAGGATATATAGCTTTAAGTAGTAGTTTTTGAGAATGCACTTTCAAAAGGTAAGCACAGCTATGCTCTTCAAAGCCCCCAAAGCTGTCCTGTGCAAGGAAAGAGCTCTGCCGTCTCAGGCTCAGAGCCAAGAGGCTGGCGGGCCGTGGGGGGGCTGACCTGTACAGTGTGTTGAATGCCTTCTCACAGCCCTGCACGTCACACTCAAATGGCTTCTCCTTTGTGTGCACTCGCACGTGGATCCTGAGGCTGTAGGAGGTGAGGAAGGCCTTGCCACAGCCCTCCTGGTTGCAGACGAAGGTGTACTCTCCTCGGTGGGTCTTCTGGTGGGTGCGCAGGTTGCCCGCTGTGCTGTAGGTGCGAGGGCACCCCGCAAAGGTGCACTGGTACCGCTTCACCTGACAGAGGACACGGGACACCTCATCAGTGGGGGAAAACAGCTGCCCAGATCTGACCTCCCCACCCAGGACAGGGTCTCGTGAGGCACAAGCTGACAGCAAGCTTGGAGCCCTTAACTCCTGAGCCCCCTGCCATGCTCTACCTTCTGAGTGCCATGTGCACGCATCACCATACCCAGGTCTCTATAAGGTGCAGAGGAGTGAACTCTGGGCTGATGTATACTAGGCAACTTGACCAACTGAGCAACAACCCAAGCCCTAAGTCCATCTTTAAAAAAGCTGTTGTAGGAGGCTGGAGAGATGGTTCAGCAGTTAAGAGCATGTACTACTTTGCAGAGCACTTGACTTCTCTACTCTGAATCCATATCAGGTGGCTCACAAATGCCTCTAACTCCAATTGCAGGGGGACCTATATGGTCTGGGGTCTATGGATTCCAGGAGCACCTGCACTTGCCTGCGTATACCCGCACACAGTCATAAACATACACGTGACTAAAAATAATACAAATAAAATAAACGCTGTCATAAGAATTAGGAATAAGACAGGTGTGGTGGCTTACTCCTTTAATCCCAGCACTCAGGGAGACAGAGGCAGGCAGATCACTGTTGAGTTTGAGGCCAGCCTGGTCTACAAAGTGAGAGGACAGCCAAAAAAATAAAAAATAAAAAAAGAAGAAAGAAAAAGAATTAGGAATTTGCTGGGCAGTGGTTGCACATGCCTTTAATCCCAGCACTTAGCTCTGTGAGTTCCAAGGCCAGCCTGGTCCATAAGAGTGAGTTCTAGGACAGCCAAAGCTACATAGAGAAATCGTGTCTTGAAAAACAAAACAAAACAAAAAAGGATTAGGAATAATTTGTGTAAGACATTTTAATACAGCAACTGACACATAAAGTACCCAATAAAATAGCTTATACCAAAAAACAAAGAATAGACCAGGGAGAACAAGTAGCACCTACCACACTAACTAGTAAAAGACTTGGCAGGTGAGAGGGAGAAAGGGACAGAGCAACGACACAGCAGCTAAAACAAAAAGGGTCTCATGAAAAACAAGATGATAAAAAAGACATATGTCGGAGAAACAAGGTAAGGAGCAGGGAAAAAAAGGTAAGGAGCGGATATCTCCAGTCCCCCAACACGGAATCCCTACTGATTCAGCAACACAGCCTGCAGTGCTAGGACTGAGTCTGGATGGTGTGAGATGAAGAGGAAGGGCAGAGCCAGGACCAGTGCTTCCCTGTTGAGCCAAACGCTTATTTCTAGAGGGGGAAAAAGTCCTAGAAGAGCTAGGGTGGTGATATATGCCTGCAATCAAAGCACCCAGGAGCCTGAGGGAGGAGGAATTCTGTGAGAGTGAGGCCAGCCAAGACTGTATTACAAGATTGTCCTACTGTCTGCGCTGTTACGCCCCCAGGGCCCAACAAAAAAGAACAACTTCTGGAGAAAAGCGAATGAGAACACACAAAAGAGAAAAGACAGTATTTGAAGGCCCTGGGGGGGGGGGAGCGGGGTGCAGCTTAATGATAGCTTTGCTTGAAGATGGTAAGAGGCATCCATGGTGGCGCGCACGCACTCAGGAGGCAGAGGCAGGCGGATCTCTGAGTTTGAGGCCAGCCTGGTCTACATAGTGAGTTCCAGGACAGTCAGGACTACACAGAGAAACCCTGTCTCAAAACAAACAAACAAACAAAAAATGAGAAAGAAAGAACAAAGGAAGGAGAGAGAGAGAGAAAGGAAAAAAAACAAAACAAAACAAAACAAAACGTGGCAGGAACTCTGGATTTGCTGGCACGGAGATGATAAAATAAGCCTGAGTGGATGGACAAAGCCCCAGGGAGGAGACAGCCATTCTGTCTCAGAAAGGGTTGATGGAAGGATGGGTGTAAGCCAAGGGCAAACAGTTTTCTGTCAATTGTCAAAGAGAACATATTTTGGATTTTATGTTCTGTCACTATACAACCCTTACTCTGCATGTTAAAGAGGCGACAGACAAGTAACTGAACACTGCGACGTTCCAAAAACATTTATAGATACTGAAGTTTGAATTTCATATAATTTTCACGCATTATATTATTTTGATTTGGAAAAAATTAATAAAGATGAAAGTATTGAGAAGGGGTCCATCTCAGTAGGTAAAGCACTTTCCCAGCACACAGGACACCCTGGGTTCTGCCCAAAGTAGGACACAAACTGGGTGTGCCAGCACTTAGGATCTTGGGAGGCAGAGGCAGGCAGATCTCTGAGTTTGAGGCCACCCTGGTTTACAGAGTGAATTCCAGGACAGACAGGGATATACAGAGACACTGTCTTGAAAGACAAAAACAAGAAGGAGGAAGGGGAGGAGGAAGAGAAATAGTAGCAGCAGCAGCAGCAGCAGCAGCAGTTCAAGGTCGGCCAGGTGTGGTGATGCACACCTTAACTCCAGGGCTAGGGAGGCGGAGGCAGAGGCAGAGGCAGATGGGTGTCTGTAAGTTTAACATCAGTCTGGTTTACGTTGAGTTCCAGGCCAGTCAGGACTATACAGTGAGATCCTGCCTCAAAAAGAAAATAATAAATTCAAGGTCATTCAATCATCCTTAGCTACTCAAAATATTTGAAGCCAGTCTGAGCTACCTAAGAGCCTTTCTTTAAAAAAGTAAAAACTGAGGCCACAGCTGTGGCTCAGTGTTTGTCTAGCATGCTTAAGGTTCTGACTTCGATCCTTACAAAAACAACAAATAAAAAACCATTGTCGGGAGCTGAAAAGATTCTCCGTGGTTAAGAGTACATACTGTTCTTGTAGAGGACCTGAGCTCAGGTCCCTGCACTCACAGACTCTGAGCTGAAGCCTTTCTCCTTAGCAGACGCCTATACACATATACATAAAAAAATTAAAAACAGCCAAATGTGGTGGAGCACACTTTTAATCCTAGCACTTAGGAGGTACGGACAGGTGGATCTCTGAGTTCCAGGCCAGCCTGGTCTACAGAGAGTTCTAGAACAGTCAGGGCTGCACAGAGAAACCCTGTCTTTAACCTACCACCACACATCAAATAAACAGACACAAACCCCACAACAGCCTCCCCCATAGCATTCCTACTTAGTTCTAGATCAGTGGTTCTCAACCTTCCTAATGCTGTGACCCTTTAATCCAGTCCCTCACGTTGTGGTGACCCCCCCCCCAACCACTACTACTTCATAACTGTGATTTTGCTACTTTATGAATCATAATGCAAATATCTATGTTTTCTGGTGGCCTTTGGCAACCCCTGTGAAAAGGTGGGCTGACCCCCAAAGGGATCAAGGCCCACTAATTGAGAACCACTCTTCTAGTGCTATACAAAAACAAACTGGGCTTAAACTGGATTAAGCCTGCCAGCTAGTTTGCTAGTTAGGGAAGGGAGGGACATTGACTCCTCCTTCCCCCTGCCCCACCCCTTCTCCTCTCCTCTCCAACTCCTAAAAGGACCTTGCACTAGTGCTTGCTCACCTATTCATGGTGAGCCTCCCACGGCCACACAGGTCACGCTCGGTATTCCCTGAGCTGAATCACTCAGACATAGTATGTCTTGGTGCCTAGATCTGAAGTCATTGCCAGAACAATTCTAAAATAGCACTCCGCATGGCAGTGCCTGGGCAGGATAGTCTAGGGGAGTCCCAGGGCCTTTCAACACTGTTAGTTTCGTGACTCAGGACCAGGCACACAGAAGGGTCAGCCTGAGCTACACGCAGCAGCACACTCATGCTCATGACTCAGTTCCTGCCTCCTTTCCTGTGCTCTTTCCCCCTTTACTGGAAATGTCTAGTTCCTTTCTCTGCTCTCCCAAGCCTCTCTCTCTCTCTCTCTCAGGTCCTCCATAATCACCCCATGTCTACATGACGGTGCCCTTCTCCACATGCCAGTATTGTGTAACTTCACTTACAGTGGTAATTATCCTCTCACGCATGTGTATTAACTTTACAAATGGAAATTTCAAAGCTATCACTGACGGGAGACCTGTCTCCATCATAAGGTCCATCCCAGAGGTGAGAGATAAGAAAATAATTTCATTCTTGAGTTGCTATAGCAGCTGACAGGGTTGTAAGTGACTGTAGTAGGCAATGGAATGCCCTTTCTCACTCCCTGCCCGCTCCCACCTGAATTCTTGCACTTGGCCATCTCAATCTTCTATTAGGTATGTCTTCCTCAAGGGCCTCTCCCTCACTGGTCCTTAGCCCCAGGTTCCACTGTGACAGGTGCTCTAGACTCTCATAGCTTCCTGGGACAGCAGCCCTCTGAATCCAAGGGATCTGCATTCGTGAATTTAGCCACTTAAGGACTGAAAATATTCACACACAAAAAAAAAACAAAACCAAACAAACAAACACCAGAAAAAGCAAAGCAAAGCAAAGAAAAGCAAAGAAAAGCAAAGCTGGGTGGTGGTGGCACATGTCTGTAACCCTAGCACTCTGGGAGACAGAGGGAAATGGATCACTGTGAGTTCGAGGCCAGCCTAGTCTACAAAGTGAGTCCAGGACTGCCAAGGTTACACAGAGAAACCCTGTCTCAAGAAACAAAAAATAAAATAAAATAAAAAATAAAAGCCTGTGTTAAATATGTACAGAACTGCCTGTTATTCCCTAAACAACAATTTCTGGAGTGTCTACATTTTTTGAATGTTTCCTAAGTAAGCTAGGCCAAAGTAAATTATACAGAAGACGGCCAGCAGCAAGATGGCTCAGTGAACAGACACTCGTTGTCAAGATCAGTCCTTGAGACACACGTGAAGGTGAAAGAAAAGAAACCGCACAAAGTTGACCTCTGACCTCCACATGTGCTTACATACAAATAAATGTCTTAAATCCTCAGAGTACACAGGACAATGTACATGGACTACATGCCAGTACTGCAATCCCTTCACATAAGAAGTATGGACGCTTAAGAAAAAGTAGTTTCTAGAAATAGAGAGAACCACCTTTATTTAAAGGAAAAGATACAATTAAAATTAAAACAAGTACATAATTAGCCAGGTGTGGCAGCACC